GTTATTTTTGAACCCAGGAACCTTAAAAAAAAACAAAACAAAAAAAAAAATAACAAAGCAGCTGCAGCTTTTCCCAAGCAGAACGCCACCACCAGGCACAAAAGAGCTATAGCTACAGAAGTGCCTCCCTTTCACTCTGGAGACTTTTAAAGTTTTTCAAACATGGGTTTGAAAAACTTTAAAAGTTTACATTCCTGTTCCTGAAACCTTAACAAAGCTCACATCTCAGGACCTCAATACACCTTAAACTAAAAGGAAAAGCAAAGTGACCTACATCACCATGTACGATCTATTTAAAGAGCAATAAAAGAGAAGTGGGAGATGAAAGGAGGAAACCTGAGGAATTCTAATGAAAGTTCATTATCCATCACTGAGGCTTAAGCTCTGCCGTGTTTCTGTGACAGTTCGGTTACAATCTGTACGCAATTTTAATTTGATTCAGATTTTTTTCTTTTTACAAATATGACAAGAAAATGTTTGTATGCGAGTTTATTACCTACTGCACAGGCACAAAGGCACCATCAGCCACGGAGCAATGCTTGAGAAAAAAAAACAAAACTATTTCATGTTGTGACCCATTTAAGCAAAGTTGTTCTAAAGCTCAAGATTTAGCAGACACAACTTTGTGTTTGTTCAATGTACTATTTCACTATTGTAAAAAAAGACAGGTTTCTTTAACTTTTTATTAGCCCCAACTGTCCCTGGATTTAAAAGTCTTGAATCAGATGGTTTCTGTATTTAGCCTCAGTTCTGGCAGAATTATCTTTCTCTGTCACTGACACACACTCAGGGCCTTTGTTCACATTTGTCCAACAACACACACACACACACACACACACATGTATACACACGCAGAGATCTATTATTATCACAGTAAATGGTTTCAATAGGTGGTAAGAGGTGCTTCATTGTGCTGCTGCCAGGATCCTGAAGGGAGGGAGTGGGGACAGAAATGGAGGGAAGAGGTGTCTGGGTGAAAGAGGTGAAGAAAAAGCAGCAGATGATCTGAGTCTGATCTCTGTGTCTAAAGTGTTCTTTAGAGCAGCACGCCATTTCCTGGCCTTCCTGTGCTGTACTGTACTGGTGGATCACAGCGTGAATCACAGCAGTATGAAAATAAGATTAAGATTAAATAAGATTAAGTGTCAGGTGAGGGATTTTACACACTGTTACAGTATGTACATTTTCACTGCAAGCACTGTTCCCAGGAAATAATATTAGAGATTATCATGATTGGAATGAGTAGAAAGTACCAGTTCTGTTTTGGGGCAAAATATATTTCCAGCTCCATCGGACAGGACCTTTAACTGAACGGCAGAGGTTCAAAAACACTAGGTTTCTGACCAGGGCTGGGCTGTGGATCTTGTTTATTGATTATCACTGTCAGAGATGTTCCATTTTGAAAAATAACCACATTTTTTGTTGACACGTTAAGAAGTTTGTCAAAACAAAGTCTTTATAGAGATTCTTAAAAAAGGGAATGGGTCCACAGGGAAGACAGAAGAAGAACATCCAGCTCCTATGATAAATAGTTTAACAGTAGAATTTCCTGTGGGGTGGAACGATACTGGTGTATTCAAGCTGTAGGATGGGTTTATCACCACAGGTGGTTATCGCATATCAAACCCTCGCTGTTAATCAATGTTATTGTGAGTGTATATGATTATTTTTATGGCGCCTTAACAATGGCTCCATGAAAATATTTGTCTGAAATCCAACCACCTGGTGGCCAAAAAAAGCTTGGTGACCTATGTTGTCAGGCTCGCAATGTTTTCAGGTCTGAGAGGAACAAGCATCCAGATCAACAAAAAAAAAAAAAAAACAGCCCAAGACTTAAACTTTCAAAGATTTAATCTGCCTTTGCTGTCCTGTTGTGGTTGATGGCTACTGCAACTGGACACACTAAAGTAACACTTTCTAACCAAATCCAAGGGTTGGCCAATGGTAAGTAACTTCATCATCAAACTCCAGTAAAAGTAATAGATTGAGGAATTTTGCTAAAGACCTTAAGACTGAACTTGACTGTTATGGGTTCAGTTCTGGGAAGAGAAACAATAGCCTGCTGTAGAGGAGAGCGAGGGTCAGGAAACTTTCTCTCTCTCTCTCTCTCTCTCTCTCTGTGCATAAAAGTTGGTTTGTTTTGTGGTTTGTGGAATTTAATCTTCTCACTTTTCCAGGATTTGATGCCCCTTTTTTCTGCTCATATTCCAATAAAAACAGAGTTGTTAATACTGGATGTGGACAGTAAGGATTCAGGATCAAAGCTTCTCTCTGTATTTATTGGACGCTAATCAAGACATTAAAAACTTCAGTGACTCAAATACACTGACTCTCAAATATATAATATTAAATATAAATCTAACCCTAATCTAACCCCTCAAAACATTTCACCTAGAAATACAAAATTGAGGTCAATTACGGTTGGATCATTTGGAACGCTTTGCCTTTGAGAGTTAGTCTTCAAGGTTTGATCGAGCTAACCCTGCTTACGTCTGCAGACTGGCCTCTTCTTTACCCTTTACCAGCAGTTCAGAACCATGTAAGATACATTACTGCCACCTAGAGGGTCACTGACTAATTACTGTCAACAGAAAGGACTTTTTTTCTCGCACAATACTTTAGTCTTAATTATTAGATTAAACTGATTTTAACAAATCACACTCGTAGACAACATTTTGGTTGGATTTTTTTTTTTTAAGATAAAGATTATGTTGCTATTTTTAAAAATGTTCCTTTGACTCACTTATAAATATTTCTGGTCCAACTTTGAATGATTTTAAGTAGTTTTCTTGCACACCCTTAGTTATTTTAAAGCTTACGTCTGAATATTTAACAGTAATATGATTTGGTATGAACTGTGTTCAAAAGTGCTGACGTGCCACATCCTGCACACAGGAAATGATCCACATGGTCTGGTCCCAGTGATGTCATCACCCATGTGGTGTGGCCTGATGTATGATCCAGTTAGACTAATGTATTCAGCATCGCTGACTGATGGTTCTGACCTGTGGCTTTTACTGTTAATGACACTGACACTGTTTGCTTTCCGATGTTACAGACTTAGACAACAGAGACAGTTATGCTATGACTGCTTAAATCTCTGAGCAACAAACTGTAACAAATCATCTGATGTTGGACTAAAGTTTAGGTCAGGTTATGCGTTAAGATATTATTTTAATCCACACTTTTTTATTATAATGACCTAAAGAAATAAACATCTGCACTGTCTGCCAGTCTTCCAGTCTTCCAGAAGCGCTATTGGCAACACGGTACTAGGAATTCTGTACCAACAGCTGATGATCTGTGTTGTGGTTTTATGTCAACCTATTTTAATATGAATTCTGTTTGTCTACACTGTTGGCAGTTAAAAAAAAAGATACCTCAAGGAAGCCAGTTAAGACTGAGCTTCAACACTGCATGAACATGTGATGATGTTCATGCAGGCCTGAACATGTTTGAAGAAAATCTCATGAGATGATATGTGTAAAACAGCTTAAAAACTATTGACACTGGTGTGAAACAGTTCTTGTAAAGTAAACAAAGCAGCTGATATTAACAAATACCTTGGTACAATTCTATTAAGCTGTGATTCCCTTGCTATCCAAGAACAATCACCACAGCAGAATTCTGTTTCCACTGCAGGTAAATGAACCAAGAGCTAGAGACTATTTGTTCAACTCCAGATTAAGGGACAGTTGTACATACATACATATGTATGTGAGTATCATGCAAGTCTTCCCAACAGGAACTGAAGCTATAAATTAAACAGAGTACCCAGAACTTGGTGCAAATAAACCACATAAACCTGTACTATTAAATATTAACTCGTTCACTGCAGGAACTACAGACAGAACCAGAAAACAATCCGGAGCAGCGATTGGCGTACATGAGTGAAAATCAATCATGTTCTTCAGCTCAAAACATTGAGAAAATCAAAACAACAGTTTTCAAGAAAGTAAAAGCTGTGATCAGAAACTTGGAATTATTTCTCTGGTTTCAACGAAAAAGCTAAAAATAACAACATGGTCAAACTCCAGGCCATGATGCTGTAGGATCTCCTAGCGATTAGTTTGGCCTTGACTTTTAAACATCATGTGTTTCTGCTTCATTCTCACAGGTTTGACACTGATTGGTTAAAACAGAGCAAAGACAAGTGAGCACTGACTTCATGGATAAGAAATCTCACTTCAGATATACCAGCTGCTATTTCTGAAATAGCATAGCTGACTCCAGCAGGCCTTTGGTTCCTGTCCACACATTTTGGATCAAACAGTTATCAATCAATAAATCATCTGTGGTTGTAAAAGCCTGAAGCTGTCTAAGTGATAAGCTTCAAACTTAACTCTCTGACATTTTTTATTTTTATGAAAGACATAAAAAAAAATATATTCACGTTTTTACTGTAGATCAAAGAAACGAAAGAAATCTGAAAAAAATCTGAGGCTGAAATCACACAATTGAATATATTGCCAAATTTATTTGTTTATTACTGACAAGATAGCCTTTAAAAACCTCAGAACCAAAAATAAATAAATAAAATACCCTACAAAATTTTCCCAAAAATGACCAAAGAAATGTGCCAATAAGAAAAACAGCTTTATATATTTAGATAAAGCAGTATTACAGTCGTACAGTATACTAGGTTAATGCTACTGGGTTACTACCAAACTGCTAGTTATGAGACATACGAAACAACCACTATGAAATTTTAATTTTCAACTTTACAAAATTTGAGACGACAGCGCTCCTTCCATATTCGATAAAACGGCTTCAAAAACGACAATTTTATGCTAATAGCTCTTAAAAGAACGCGTATTTCGCTTAAATGTTAAAAGTAAGGACAGTTAATGGAAAAACGCCAAAATTAGCGACATCAATTGTAAACTTTTTAGTGCCACAGATCACAAAGAGGAAAATAAGTTAAAAAATAGCACAAATTAGCAGCACAATTGAAATAAAACAGTTATAGACTGACAGCTATTTTAAAATATTTTACTCACCTTCTTCAATGAGCAATACTTTCTTAGTGAAGAGTCCATGGTGGTAAATCTTTACACATTTCCTACTCTTGCATTAATTCACGAGACAAACATATTGAAAACGGTCATATTTCACCGAACGGTCCAAATCTTACATGTTGTGAGCTGCTAGTAGTTTATTGGTTTTAGTTTGACTCACATTGTGGCTAAAGTTCAGCTAATTTGCGATTAACTGCACCTGGGGTTTTGACAAATCTGAATTAACTGTGGCTGTAAGCGCTCCTGCATATAACCGAAGAATATTTCAATAATACAAAATACTCTCGTTCTGACATGATTTCTAATTCATCAAAAATGCGTAATTTTTACCTTTAAATATCGTTCAGAGATTTATATTTCATATAGATATCATATTTCATTAGTTCAAAAAAAACCTTCATGGCCAACAGCTCCACCCTGTAAACCAGATTGCTGAAGTTGACCTAAATATGACTTTATGAAGCTAACATATGGCTCTAAAAAGCTACCCACTCAAAGTATAGCAAAAGTTAATAAAAGGCTATAGCTAGCTTTGAGATAAAGATATATACACTATATACAGTAGTGCTTTATTCAGCTAAATCTATTTGTACTTCTGTAAATTAGTTCAGAAAACAGAGACAAAAGACTGACAGTCTCACTTCCTGTACAAGCTGTGTGAAAGAATAAAAAACATCCACTGTTCAGAAATCACAGATAAAGGTGAAGCAGTCACAAAAACCACAGGGGAAATGAAAGTCACAAGTCAATGAAAACAAACCTGGGGAAATACATCACAGTTTGTGTGTGTGTGTGTGTGTGTGTGTGTTTACTGACCTCAAAACACAAGAACAATATAAAAATCACTTTATTTGGTTGTGCTTTTAAAATATCAATATAAAGATGAATGTAAAAGACAAGACTCTGCTCTAACATCAAGTAGCAGAAAGAGGTACTCAAGTTGATGTGAACGGAGGTTTGCAGTAGTTCACGGAAGACGCCTCAAAATACAGTCCTATCTAGTGTTTTGCTGAGAAAAAGAAAATGTGTAGTGAAAAGTCAACGGAGCAGAGGATGTAAAGCCAAAGTGGTCCAACTGACATTTAAAAAAAACAAGCAATCTATATGAAATCCCTTGGAAAATCAATTTACACTCACAACATTTCAAGCCCTTAAACAAAGATTAAATGAAGGCACACGGTTCACATACTACATTTTATTATGTGAACTGTGTATCTAATAAAACCACTATTAAACATGCTGTCATTAAAATATATTTTCTCAAGAGATGTCCCGAGGGATTAATAAAGTTCGATCCATCTATCCATCCATAAATGGTAGTCAGTAAGTCCTGATACGCAACACAAGGTGAAAACAAAATGTAAACACTGAGAAACTGTAGTCTGGAGCTGAGACGCCACATTTGTAAACATTTGTTTATCATTAGAAACACTAAAAATTCAGTCAGAAAGAAAAAACCCTGGAGGTGAAATGAACCATCAACCAAACGTGATCATGCGTTAGAGTTCAGAGTGAGTGTGAGCAGCAGCAGCAGAAGACGAGGATGAGAAGGAGGAACCTGTCACCTCCGTGTTCTTCATCTTCCCCTTCACCCTCTCTTTGTCCTCCTCTTCTTCTTCTTCTTCTTCAGGTTCTTGCTGTTGGGCAGATCCAGGCTCTTCTGTGTCCATGACCTTCAGGAAGTCGTAGAACTTACCAGACGGGGGCCAGGTGTCTGCACCCAGCATTCCTAAAGATGAAAAGACAAAGACAAGCATGAAGGAATCACATCTCTTTATTAAAGTTAAAAATTATGAGCCAACTCTTCCTCCACTTCTCTAACTTTGATCCGTTTCATTCATCTTCTTTCAGTTAGCTGATGGCTAATTGTGAACCAATTCCCCATTTTTCTAAGACATTTTCAGCTAACCTTTAGCTGGTTTTGGTATATTTTTTCTTGACCAAACACAGTCCTGTAGAAACCAGCAACTGTGACTAAACAAACTCCTGTGTGGAGAATGTGTGGAATGTTCTGATGACACTGATATATCCTTTTTATAAACTCTGAGACTGGTCACAGCAGAGACCTCAACCTTATCTCTGACCTCTGACCTGCACATGCTGCTGCTGACGGGGTGATGGGGTTAATGGCTCCAGTACTGTTGTGGTTTCAAGTCGGAGGTCACCTAAACAATCATCACTACTATTTAAAACATGTTTATGTTTGCTACACACTTAGTTTCCTCTCATGGAAACTGACACCAAGTGAGAAGACCGACAGCGTGTCCTTTAACCATCTAACATGAAGTTTACAGGAATGGTAAGGATTTGGGGGGGGGGAATACCAAAAAAAAAATCACCATTAAAATGCCTAAAAAAAAGTACATCTACACAAAAAGAAAAACAGCCAAAAAAACAAAAGCAAAAAGTAGTGGGTAGAAATATCAATTTTTTTAGCTATATGTTAGCTTCAGAGAAAGATGTAAACGCAGCCAAAGAACTGCTAAAGAACTGAGCTAAAAGTTATTCTAAGAAAAACTGATTTAAATTATATGGAGAAAAAAAAAACAGATAGGTCAAAAACAAAAGCTACAATTTTGAAACTAATGAAAAATGAACTAATCCTAGACAACGGGTGAATGAAGGTAATTAAGAATTTACTTAAGAAAACCTGATGATAACAATAACTTTAGTGCTTTCACAGGGTGGTGGGTGACGGGGATCAATCATGAACCTGAGTCGTTTCTTTTTTAGACACTGACAGCACATAAATTTCAAAAGTCCCGCAGGGTTTTTTTACTGCTTCTGAAGTTTAAAAAAAAACTAGAGTGGAGATAAATAAAAATATGATGTGCCTTAAGTCCGTGCACCTTCTCTGATGTTCACTGTTGAGAACAGAGCTCAGAGGGTAATGGAACGGGATGGAGAACACATTTACACTCAGACTGGATTCACACAGCAGGAGTTCAGTCTGAACTCAATCTCCGTTACACTGACTCTGAGGACAGGACTCAGCTGAGAGAAAACGCAGCCAACGTGTAGACAAAAGATGGCAGAAAAAAAAATAACACTAGACAGGGAAAAGTTTTATAATAAAACTTCAAAAACATCCTAAGATCACAATGTTTGCCCTTCAGTTTTTGGCATTGATCCAAAAATATATTACAAACAGTTCTATTTTACACTGTGTCACTCTGAGTGCTACCTGCTGCTGGCTCAGCTCCATCTTGGATCCTCTGCAGCCACTGCACGACAGATGCAGCCCTGATGGGTGTACTGGGGGGGTACTGATAGATTTCATCAGTAGAAGGTGAATGAGTGAGGAACAGAGCAGGAAGTGGCGGCATCGAACCCAGGTACGACCCCAAGACGGAGAGACCAGCAGGAGTGCGACCTCTGAAAGAGAACAGCGGTCGGTGAGACGCGTTAAGGATGAAATTCAGAAAAGATGAGTCTGAATAAATGACGTGAGAGTGATTTACTCACAGGTGGATCCAACAGGCCACATACGCCTCCATCTTGTCACCTCCCAGCTCCACCACTTTCCTCATCTCCTCCAGTAGAAGCTGGTTCTGTCTGAGCCCGGCCTCGTCCTCCTCCTCACCAACAAACAGGAGGAGCAGGCCTTTGTCCACAGACAGGACAGAGGGCAGACTTTCTACTGTCAGCTCAGGCTGAGGTCACAACAGGGGTCAACATGAGTGTAAAGAACGAGATGAGATGATGTAAGATGACAACACGAAAAGTCATGAGAAGTAACAACAGTCAAGGTGAAATGTTATTAGACGAGGTGATAAAATGGAGATGAGAGAAGATAATAATGAATAAGACAATTACAGAAAAGACTGGATACAATTACACTTACTATAATAGGTAAAAAAAACTAAGATTGAAATATAAAGTTTTGACCCATTTTTCTGATTTTGATGATTTAGTCGCTTTGTCTCTCTCCTGAACTTCACCCACTTCAGTCCTGCTGCTCCGGCTGTAGGATCAGGATCTCATTAGGCAGGGACAGCCTTTGTATGTGTAAAGATGTTGCCTTGTTAAAAACAACCTTTCAAACAAGAACTTTTTGGCTGTTTCTACATGGGTTCACTTCATTTTCATTAACATGAAGGAATGGAAAGTGGATCTGGATCTGGATCTGCTGCTGGGACCTGGTGTGTCCACATATGGAGCTGGTTATGTGTGTGACATACAACCAACGCTTTCCTCTTGGCTTTTACACCAACAGCGTTTATGTAGGTTATTTCATTCCATCAGACCAGATCACAATGGGAGCCCGGACTTGGCCTGGACTCTCAGAGTCATTACTTCTAATCAGGTAATTGTAGGCAAACAGTCTCCACGCTTTTTTTTTCCTTCTCTCTAAATCGAAAATACACAGTGTTTGCAGCCGAGCGAGACAGGGAGGCGCAGAGAGGAGGTTTTACCAGAGGATGGAGCAGAGCGGAGCTGATGGATGTGAGCAGCTCTTCAGCAGAGGAGGACATGGACAGTGTGGTGGGACCAGTGTGTCTTCCCCATGATGGAAACACCAACACTGCAGGAAGCTCCACCTGCTGATCTGCAGCCCTGAGGATCAGATATCAAATGCAGCCTATAAACACTGAAATGTTGGAGAAACCATCATTTACAGGATTCCCTCTGCACTTTATGGACTGAGAGGGAATGTTATGTACAGAGGGAAAAATGATTCCATTCAGGGTTAAAAAAACTAATTTAGAAATAATGGGTTTTTAGTCCAACCTCTGAGACATTTACTGTATCTATGTCTTGATCATGCGTTTCTTTTTGTTTAAATCAACCGTAACACTGCCTTCAGAGCTCCACCAACATTTTTAGGATCTCGTTTCAAAATGTTGTAGATAAGAGAACTGGTTCTCTGCCACAAAATTACCCTGAATTACCATGAAAAACATTAGCACAGCTGGGGCCATTAATGCCCCAAAACACCAAACACTGAAGGAATGTCAATTTAGACACTTCCACAAGGTGTTACCTACAGCATTCTCATGTCCATTTAGAATGTGTGAACAATTCTGTACAGTCTGTGTGACCAACACAAACTGCAGTTTGAAGCTCTGCGCGTTCAGAGTTTAAATAAAATATGAATGTTGTTCAGTTTCAACCTGGTGGTCAACCTTTTTTAGTGAAAAGAAGTCTCATTAGTGCAAAGTATTAATAACAACTAACGAGAGGAGAGGGAGAGGCATCAGTACCAGCACGCACGAACGTTGAGAGTACCAAAGCCCACCTCGTGTTAGTGTCACAGTTATCTTGGTTATTAAAACATGATTTCCACAAAGCTGTGTAAACGTTTCATACCCACAGCTGTGATGCAGAAGTAGACGAACACTCAGTCAAAACAAAACCACAACCAGTTACCATTTCTCTGCCAAGGTGCCCGTCACTAATCCAGTCAGAACTGTTCCTCTCAGTGACTTAGCCGCTTCAAAGAACACAGCGACCCCTGTTGACGAAGAGAGAGAAGCCATAAAGTGAAGGTTTTCAGTCTCTACATCAACCTGTGGCTGTGGACCACGGTCACAGGAGGTGAGTGAACTCCCCGACCTTCATTTGTTGGTGTGTTGAACAATCCCAGCATTCTGTCAGGTTTTGGTCCCAGAAGCTCAGGGTGATGCACCTCCTGTAGAAATGATGTCACTTCCTCCTGACTGGACAGTGTGACTGGAGATGCTTGACAGCTTCTGGTTCAAGGAAAACACATAAACATTAAAACTCAGATGGGATTGTTTCCAAAAGTCAAAGAAGTGTTTTAAATCTTCCATGCTATGTAGAGATTCTACCTTTTGATGATGCTTGTAAATGAGGCGGAAAAAACTGATCACTATCCATTTATTTTAAAAGGACTTTGTTTAGTGATAAATAATTATTTTTCCTAACAGAGAGTCTTGAAGGACTGTCTTCACTGGGGAAGAACTCTCAACTCGAAAAAAATACTCTGTCTAATTGAGGTAGGCTCTACTAAGACAATAGGACGAAATACTGAGAGTAAACCCAGTCTAATAAAAGAAAAGATCCTCTCTAATTAGGAAAGAACTTGACTTACTGGAAAAGATCCCCTCGATCAATCACAAACTCTCTGTTCTACAGTGGAATCCCCTTTAATAGGGAAGGATCCCCTCAACTTCAGAAATATTTTCTCTGATGTGAAGGATCCTCCAAACCACAGAAGAATCCACTCACCCTTCGTTGAGAGGATCCTTCCATAAATCTAGGTTGAAGAAATACTTTCTTGACAACGTAAAGATCCTTAAGTGTGTTATCTAAAAAGGAAACGCGTAAATAAGTGGGATCCACTGCAATAACATTTTTTAAACTATGAAAATTTGGAGAATATGGGAAGATTTGTGCAGAATTCTCGACACTGTTTACTGAGAGAAATATTGTCTGTACAGAGAATGGAAGGATTTGTTTTCTTTGACTAAAGGAAGAACTCACTGCTTTCCACAAGTGTAAGAGAAAATGGACGCTGGACCTTGAGAAACACCTCTAAAAACCTCAGGGTGTTTGAATGAAACCACAGCAACTTATTCAGAAGGAGCAGCAGAAGCAGCAGCAGCTTCTCTAAACTCAAGTGGACATTTGTTTGTTTTCAAAAATAATGTTTTCCTCATGTTTATACATTCCCTGTAAATGCTCCAGATGTGAGGTGCTTGAAGGTTGGATTTATTTCATCACTTCTCCTAAAGTCCTTAGAATTACTGATAAAATCTGAACTAAGTTAAGTCTTGGTCAGTAAATTCTGTTTTCCTCTGAGGAACTGTTTAAAAGATTAGTGCAGATTGGACGGTGTCCAACTCAAACAATCCCTTGGGGCAGTCCTTCGACTTTGTCATATACGGAGATTTCTGGCAGCAGCAGAACATTTGTTGTTACTGAGAGCTCCACACATCGACCACGATCGGGGAGTTTTCTCTGCTCTTCTGTTTGCTATGATAAGCTCTTCAGAGACTCTAGTCCCGAAAACCCCAGGATATCATTAAAAAACTAAAAAATTCTTCTGTTTCCTGACACGCAACAAAATTACCTTCAATTACAACACTTTTCTCTAGAAACCATTACAACACCACACCTACAATTTTGTTGCTACTGTAGCTGTTCCATCATTACAACCAACCAGGAATATTCTAACTGTGATGATGTCAATATCACATCCAATTACATTTCAGCCTCATTTGTGCTAAAAAAAAAAAAAAAAAAAGTCAAAAGAACGACAAGGAAACCATTAAAAAACCTAAATGTTTTAGAGAAAATAAAAATTGTCGAGACACAACTTAATGACCTTGAATTTCCAAAGTAAAAGTTTACCAAACCAACGGAGAGTTGGCTTTGTATTCCTTAGACTAAAAAAGCAAAAAATAAGAGCGCCTATAAATACCTGATAAATGTCTTTGCTCATACATTAATGTAACTGCTAGCTAACAATTACATATGTGAATTCATTTTTTTATTAACTTGTATTTTCAGAATTGGGATGTTGCTCTTACAGCATGATGAAGCGGTGCAGCGCCATTATACCCAGCATGCCGCTGTAGTGCTGAGCAGCCTCCTTTGGGCGCAGCATTAGAACGGTGGGGAACGATATGATTGGCTGAAAAGGGAAGGGGCTCGAGTCTCCCACCTCAGTAGAACAGAGGTCAGTCCACTCTGAACAATCCACAGAACACAGCTGCACCCCCGGCACCTCAGAGTCTGGGCTGGGCAGAAATAATAATAATAATAATAATAATAATAATAATAATAATAATAATAATAATAATAATAATAATAATAATAATAATAATAATAATAATAATAATAATAATAATAATAATAATAATAATAATAATAATAATAATAATAATAATAATAATAATAATAATAATAATAATAATAATAATAATAATAATAATAATAATAATAATAATAATAATAATAATAAAAAGTTAATGTAAAAGAACCTGTTTTATCTCTGACAAACTGACAAAAGAAGTACAGAAAAATAAAAATAAAGCAGAATCATTTCTTCTTTTTCTGTTTCTCCATATCATACCTGCAAACCTGTCTGCAATTTCGATAAAAGATTCGAGAACAGTAATGGAAACAGCATCCCCTGGTGGAGAAAAGGGCAAACTAAGGTTAGTTCATGCATTTATCCTAAACTTTTACACGCACAACATTAAAGCACAAATGTGAAAAAGCGCTAAAACATAAAAATAAAAGTCATAAAAAATGACGAGGTTAGAGCTTAGCTCTGCAAAAAAAGTGTTACCCCTACATATAATATATATATAATATATTCGATGTTTAGTTCCTAGTACGCATACTATATTTTGTTCATTGAAATAACAACTAAACGTCGACTGTTGTTTAACTAATTGGAATGTTTGTAGGCTAATACACGACACACACCCAACAGGAGCCTTACATTTGAGGTAAAACAGCACCACCGTCAGGTCACTCTGTGCCACCACAGTGTGGAAGTTTTCAGAGGTCAGTTCAGTAATGGAGTCCATGTCCAGGAATGTGTCTCTGTTGTTATAGACCGAGGCTGCGATTTCATCACTCAGTGATCCTGGAGACAGACGCAGACGTTCATTTTACACAAGTTCTTCTCTAGTTTCTTACGTTTCATTTCACGTTTTTATTCATTTTACCAAAGTGTAATTCTATGTCCTCCTCATCCTCCTCCTCTTCCCCTCCATCTTTCTCCTCCTCAGCCTCCTGCTCTTCGTGTGAGAGGATCTCCAACACCTCGTCGATGTTGTGAAGGGTCACGAACTTTACCTCTAAACTCTTTCAATACACATGTTAAATATGTGAAGTAAAACTGGTTAAAACAAGAACAGAGACTTTCATTTTTTTATGTTACCTTCTGAGGCCGCCTGTAGGCAAGGTTATAGTGATCAGGAGTTTTCACTGCAGGACTCTGCCTGAGGAGAAGAGAAACAAAAGAACAGAGTAAATACATGGTTATTAGAAAGTCCTACACCAAATACTAAATGGTCCATAGTGGAGTTAACAGAGATTCAAACGCCAAGTTAAAGAGCAAACAGTTAAATGTAGATTTATTTAGGGACTGTTAGACTTTTTCATGTCTTTTGATATCTGAGTAGCTTTTTGGCTAAATACTAGCTAAGATGCAATGTATTTCTGCATAATTAATTTGAGCCAAATCATCTGAGTGGTTCATTTATTTATTATATTATTATTATATTGGTCATTGTATTTTGATTTTAGATTTTCAGTGTTTCTCTGGGCTAACGTTAGCTTTCTTTGAAGTCATACTCTGCCCAGATTTATCACTTGTCTACATTGTTGGGTTTTAACCCTTTTCTGGCCTTGATCAGGAAACTTTACTGCTCCACATTGATATTAGAGCTTGACTTCAACTTGTCACAGATCACCTGTTTTAACATCATGAACAAAACAGGACGGCAGAGCTGCTACAGCAACAGTGCTCTGGAAGGAACTAGTCTGTCAACTTGACCGTCTTTTATCGCAGAAGGAGCAGCTTTGGTAAAGCTGGACAATAACTTGGTTCTAAATGATTAGGTAAGTGTCCAAAGTGAGGACAGAGATGATTGAAGAAAACCAGTCAAGCAGGGACTTGGAACAACTTTTTGGCAGTAGGTTAAAGGAAAAGGAAAAGCAGATGAAGACTGGTTAAAGGAAAAGGAAAAGCAGATGAAGTTTGCAGATGTTTCTCTGTTTGGCCAAGCTTAAATGTTACCAAGCGGTTTCAGTGCCAAGCATATCATATGACACCAGGTGAGACATCGCCTCTTACACATCAATGAGGTTGCACTCATTACACAGTAAAAACAGAATCTGTGACTGAAACTGTGACGAAGCAGGACTGTGATGCTGTTGTGGAACCTTCTGTTTATGATTCTTTCTCCCCAATTGTTTTCACAAATGGTGTTTTCTTTTGCATTTTGCCAATATGAGAGATGAGAGACTTCTAGCGTAGTGCAGAAGTTGCATTTTGTGTCAATACCTGTGGACGAGCAGCAGCGTGGCGATTCCTCTCAGTCTCCAGGCCAGAGCTGTAGCCGTGTCCAGGTCCAGGTGATGAGTCTCTGGACGTGAAAACACGAAGACCTGAGGAGTGTCTTGGTAGGGGAACTGAGGTGGTGGAACCACAGTCGGGTCTTCATGGACTTCAGACTGTGAGCAGAGAGACAAATTAATGTAAAAGAGCCTGGACACAGTGTCCTCAGAACCCGGTGGAATATTTACCACAAGTGGAGCCTCCATGAGCTGCAGGAAGGAGTGGAGGCTGATAATGGTCAGGGGTTTCTTCATGCGGGTCAGGGGACAGTGGACAGAGGTCAACCTCGGGCCACTGTGACGTTGGCAGTGAAGGAACCAGACCTGGGACGACTGGGATGTTTCATTGATGCTGAAATAATAGTCAAATTAGATATCAATTAGTTTTTGCATTAAAATGTACGATTTTATGAAGGTTATTTTAATGTCGGAGGGAAACATCTTCTTTTCCATGTTTGTTCAACTTTCTGTTAAACTGCTGTGTTCAGTTTGTTTCTGAGGTGAAGCTGAACAACAGTTTCAAACAATCAATGACACTAACAAAGGAATGAATGGAGACAGCAGTAGATTAAGACCTTATCTGTGCAGTGAGAACAGTTTTCTCAGTAGACTTTACCACTTTATTAGAAACTCCAGAAGAAGAAGAAGAAGAAAGAGCCAACGGAGGAACGAACCCTAAATGTTTGAGGACCGGTCCTCCTGTGATCAAGATGAACTGGTATTTGGATCCATACACGTACGCCGTCTCCATGATGGACCTGTGCTCTGCAGTAATGTCATCAAACAGAGACGATTGGACCCACGTGTGATCAACAGCAGTGTGGGTTGTCAGCTGTTCACCTGTGTTCACCTTGTGTTCCCAGACTGCTGACATACCCCAGCACCAGGTCCTTCTGTCCTCTAGCTGACTTCTCCATGGCCAAAAGGTCAGCATCTGTGTGGACGTACTTCACCTCTTCACGCAGAATGGCACTGAAGTAAGATCAAAACGTTAGATCAGACAGGCAGGAAGAAGGCAGAAGAAGCAAATAAGAAGGTCACGGTAGATGGTTTGGAGCAGGAAGAAGGCAGAAGAAGCAAATAATAAGGTCACGGTAGATGGTTTGGAAAGGAAGGAAGTTAGGGTATCAGAAGAAAAGTGTGGTTGAGGTGAGGTTCAGAATAAAAGCAGCATTGTTTACTCACAATAAGACTTCAGAGACGATGGAGTTGACGTCAAAAACTGTGTCCAAATTCAAACCCAGGAACTCTTTGCCACCTCTGAAAATGAAACCAAAAAGGGTCAGTGTACTTTGTGGAGAATGCCAACATTTGCTTTTTAGTCTCCGAGTCAAACCACGTTCAAACACGAGAATCCAACAATGTACGTCATGACCAACCTGAAGAGAAAGGCAGTGTGCAGCTGCCTCTGGTCTGTGCAGTAACTGTAAATCGCCTCTTTGCTACAGTCCGCCTAAAGATAAGATGTAGGTTTTCACTGTAGGTTCTCTACATTATTATTGTGTTTTTATATACACTTCTGGTCCGTGACAGCCGTTACCTTGCCAACCAGCACTCCATAGTCCTGCAGAACTTCAGCCGACTTTGCCAGCTCCGCCAAAAAGAGTGAGATAGTTGGAGAAACTAAAAATAGAGGGAGCAGAGTAAATGTAAAATTAAAAAACAAATACAGGATCAGCTTACGAGCTCTAATTTTCTCTTCAAACAGATGGTGCAAGAAATCCTATATTAGAAACTCTGCCTGCCCCACCATGTGAGAGGACAGTAGCAGAGTGGAGCAGCAGCACTGAAACAGACATAGACTGACAGGCAGCCTGTGGCACGTTGGCATCAATATGTCGATAGTTTGGATCAATCCACCCACCATTAACTCACACACCGTGCTCCTTTATCATGTTCCCAGATCACATGTACAATTTAAGGACAAATGCAAGTTAAATGTTAGCACTTTCTTAGAACTGTGAAGAATTTATACCTACCTTGGAGCTCAAAATAGACAAACATCATCTTCCCAGAATGCAGTTTGTCATAGAACTCCACAGCAGTGAACTGATGGAGCTCTGAGGAGTTGGTCTTCTCTGCACATTCTCCCAGCTCCACCAACAGGAGCAGAGCAGCCATAAAACAAACCCTTGACTTGACCAACATTCTGTGTGGATCTGTCTGTAGAAATAAAAACACATTTGTAACTGTAAATAACACATATTTTGAAATCAGTGAATTATTTTTTATGGGGTCACCTTTGGACTTAACCCCACCACCACCACCCCCAGTGTGCGTAGCCAATGTATTGCCAAAATATATGGTTATGATTTGGCAAAGGAGTCCAAAAACTTCCTCAGTATAACCCACTGCAACTTAGGTTAGAAAAATGAAAGAAAAAAAGATAATCACGCCTGCTGTAATTTGCCACAAAATCCTCATGATGTTATTGATTTAAACGTAACAGTCACCCATGTTGGACATCCTGCCATTTATGGCCAAACTACTTGTAAAGTATTTAAAATTAAAATACAGTGATCCCTTGCTATAACGCGGTTTACTTTTCACGGTTTCGCTACTTCACGGATTTGCATCGTGCATTGTGTTCTGCATTCTGATTGGCTAAAAAGTCACTCCGCTTCTTCTCTACCTGTGCGCCAATAACGTTGCGGTTTAATATGTACACGTACGTAAAACAGCTTGCCAAATTGACATTACGTACGTGCAAATTCTCTTGCAATTTCGAGTTTATCAAACCCCATAATGTCGACAAAACGCTCTGGACCGGCAAAAGTACCTGCGGTAGGGACCAAAAGGCAGCGGAAGATGCTGTCTATCGGTGATAAAGTAAAACTATTGGACATGCTAAATGAAGGTAAAAGCTATGCGGCTGTAGGTCGGCATTATGGAATTAATGAATCTTCCGTTCGTTCCATAAAGAAGGAAGAAAAAAACATAAGGAAGACAGCAGCAATAAGTTTTAATAAGGATTCAAAAAGGGTTGCAACTGCCCGCAACAAGACCAGGTAATTTGTATTTTTTTCATAATCATTTTTAATTTTCTCCCGTTCACGGTGGGCGGTGCTAATCTCCGCAATTTGAAGCCTTCTGTTCACGTTGATGATTAAAATTATTATTTGACAGTACATTACAGAAGTTATTTGTTGAAATGTTTCTAAAGTACTTTTATTTTACTTTATTTGTGAAACAAATGGTTGAGACTGTAAAATGGTTTGTTCGTTCTTTCTCTTCTTTTTCTGAGTATTTAATTGTAAAAAAAATAAAGATTTCTACTTCACGGATTTTGCCTATCACAGGTTCTTTTTGGAACGTAACCCCCGCGAAAAACAAGGGTTTACTGTACATCAAAAATCTTCACCAACTCCCAAAGAACATATCAACAAAATGTGTACAAAACCAGTAGCATTTAGACATCCCTATTCACCGACTCCCAAGGTGTCTGTACGGGCTATTTGTTGGTCAAATTTTAATGTTGTACACACGACACTCGGTGTTTGTATTATCAATAGCTTTTTAATTATCTACTCACACTCATATTCCCGTCTTTTCCATTGTCTCTCGCAAGTCAACTTTCGAGCCTATGCTCCTGTTAGAATGTGAGTGAGACTGCAACCAATACGTCACCCGTGCATTTAAAAAAAGTCACTTTTAGCACGGAGATGCTGCCCTGTAACGTCTGTTAGCCAGCTAGCCTTCGCGCTCAATGTTGTAGATGTAGGTGTTTCCGTGTCCATTTGTGAAAAGAAAAACAATGTTACAATTGTAACTATGTTACCGTCATGACCAGATTTTCGGATGCTCTAGCAGTCATCCTGAACAGTGACAAACGGCAACTCCATTAGGACAAACTTCAGTTGAGCAAAACTGCCCGATTTGCAGTACGGCCCGTCTACGCGTGGGGGAAAAACATTCAGTGCCGTAAATTTGTGCAAATCGACGCAAAACATCACCAGTAGCCAGTCCATAGTCGTACATTATTATATATGTCGAACAGCAATGTATGTCATAAACAGAATCCAAGTATTCGCTATATATTATATATAGTTATATTCTGGTTATAATACATTGTATATCATATTATCTCTTGCTGAAACCTGTTGTTTATATCCTCTTAAAATAGTTTATTTATTTATATATACATATACGTAAACAATATAAGAATAGCTGTAAAATTATAATACCATAGAGGTAATATTGTACTGCTATCTATCTATCTATCTATCTATTTATCTATCTATTTATCTATCTATCTATTTATCTATCTATCTATTTATCTATCTATTTATCTATCTATTTATCTATCTATCTATTTATCTATCTATTTATCTATCTATTTATTTATCTATCTATCTATCTATTTATCTATCTATCTATCTATCTATTTATCTATCTATTTATCTATCTATCTATCTATATATCTATCTATCTATCTATCTATCTAGCTATTTATTTATTTATCTATCTATCTATCTATCTATTTATCTATCTATTTATCTATCTATCTATTTATCTATCTATCTATTTATCTATCTATTTATCTATCTATTTATCTATCTATCTATATATCTATCTATCTATCTATCTAGCTATTTATTTATTTATCTATCTATCTATCTATTTATTTATTTATCTATCTATCTATCTATCTATCTAGCTATTTATTTATTTATCTATCTATCTATCTATCTAGTTTTCTATCTATCTATCTATCTATTTATCTATCTATCTATTTATTTATCTATCTATCTATCTATCTATCTACAACATCAATCCGTCACAGGGATGATAAACTTATCATATATTATGCGAATGATGTATTCAAGGAAAACTTGTTTTGATAACACTTTTTTGATAGCGTTCGCTCATGTGCTTACCTTTAGCCAATCAGACGAGTGATTCGGTTTGACTGCGCGGTCACGAGTTTGGAAAGGGGGCGAGTATTTCAGCTGCATGTGACATCACGATGACTCAATAAGGTGGGAGAACTTCGGGGGTTGGGTGATAGAATGAACCAATTAAGAAGAGGTCCTTTGTTTTGAGGTGGGACACTGCGTGAAACAAACCAATCGAATGTTTTCCTTTTTGAGTAGGCGTGGTTACTAAATCCTTGGGAGCTATGGCTCAGAAACTGGCCCAGTTCGGCGGCTCCTGGGACGACAATTTCGCGTTTACACTGTGCCGGATGAGAGCCAAAATGGCGGTTTAACAGCGCTCGTTTCCACTTGGACTGAAAGTAAGGGGGTGGGGTTTAAGACAACATCACAGCTGATCTGGAGGTTGTTCCCCCCTCAACTTGTTTTTTTCTTTGCAGAGCACAGAATCACACAGGGATTTCTTTTTTTCTCGTGTTGTTTTTAAGCCTATATTTGGCGAAATAAGACGCAACTCTGCTGCATCTGTAGAATCTTTCCCCGACAACGCAGTTCCACGATGCATCTCGTTTTCCGAATCTTTCATCGCAGTTTTTTACTGCTCTTTTTTGTCCTCCGTGGTGGTTTTAAAGCCCCTGGATTGACCCAGTTTTAGTCTCTTATTTTTGGCCTCCTGTGTTTCTTCGGTGGAGATGTTTTCTGCAGGAGAGCAGCTCAGCTCTCATGTGTTCACCTCCCTGAAGAAAAAGGAGTCCAGTCCCGGGCCATCATCACTGGTCTCCCCGACCCTGGAGCTGAGTCTGACGACCGTCTACACTGCCCTCTACCTCCTGATCTTCCTCTTCGTCTACCTGCAGCTCTGGCTCATTCTGCACTACGGACACAAGCGCTTCAGCTTCCAGAGTGTGTTTTTGTTCCTGTGTCTGCTGTGGGCAGCTCTCAGGACGACCCTCTTCTCCTTCTACTTCACCAATGTGGCCCAGGCCAACCAGCTGCAGCCTCTGGCCTACTGGCTCCTCTACTGCTGCCCAGTGTGTCTGCAGTTCTTCACCCTGTGTCTGCTCAACCTCTACTTCACACAGGTGACACACACCGACATGGACCAGTGCTGCTTCTACAACAGCTAACATTCAGCTCACGGCTGTAACCAGCACGGCACCAGTCTTAAAAAGTTGTTTACATCCTTCGAATGTGGTTCTCAACTGCACACCAGTTGGAGTGCTTTGGCTCCTAATCTCATTTTCACACAGTGTCGGCAAATATTTGAGGTACATAAAATGAAGCGCTTAAAAACACTTCATCCATGGCTTAAAATGGGAAACCTTTGATAACAAGGAGGGGGAGTGGGCAGAAACCCAGGAAACCTAGCACCGCTGTATTTTAGTCAGAACGGCTTTAATAAATGAGCTACTTATCTTATTAGGGATACATGATTTTCTCCGCATGCGTTGGTACACGCAGCAAAAAGTTTAAGAACAACTAAATGCATACAAAACCGATGCATACCTAAAAGACAACCAACAGCAGCATAACAATACAGTGGCTGTAATGTATTACCAATGTGACATACATTTATAAAAATATCACAGCAAAACCTAGAAGGAAACCTTGACCTCTTTAATTTCCCAAAGTGATTAATAAAGATCTATCTATCTATCTATCTATCTATCTATCTATCTAGTTATATTGTAAATACAGTATCCTCAGTTTCAATAACAGGACATCTCCAGCCCATTTAAAGTGGTGCCTTCACTGCCTGTGATAATGTTTTAATACATTAGCAGCTCATTTCAGCAGTTTATCTGTGATAATGTTTTAATACATTAGCAGTTCATTTCCCCTAATAATAACTCTGTTCCTCATTTCAGCAGTTTAATATAATTTCTATTCTAACATCCAAGCACCATGAACTGGTTTTATTCTCAGCCTAATGCAGTAGTCTGACATTTCTGATGCTGGTACAAATACACAAAACAGTGACATCACTTTTTGTGTCTCGCACTCACAGCTTAACCTGTTCACCACACTCACACATTTTCCCTAATGCCACTGGACCACAGTCTGTTACTCAAACCAACGTCAGGCCATAAGGTTTGGACAAAGTCAACACCTTTGGCCAGTGTCTGAGTTCAGCCAAAATCAGAGGACTTTGGTTCAAATGTGGTCCACTGTCCACATACCAGATGTGGGCCAGCACAGACTGATTAATTCATAGCTGTGTTTGGGTCCAATCAAATAATTGCTGTGTTCTCTCAACAGCCCAGACCACTGTTGTTGTCATCTGTGGCAGTATGTATCATTTAAAGACATTTTCATATCGTGGTTTTGGGCAAAAAAACCATTCCCAGATCCAAACCCTGAACCCATATCTGATCTGTGGCCAGTCCAAACTTCCTTCTTGTCTTCTGACAGCTGACAAATCCATCAGGTTTGTGGTTGCAGCAGTTTTTCCATACCAGTAAATATTTATCCCTGTCATTGGTGTGGAGGCCATGTGACTGGACACCAGGTTTTCCAACATGTGGTTCCAACCTCTAGATTGGTCAGGTCGTCTGAGTAGCTTCATATTTTCCTCCTCAGACTTCGAGTGTCTCTGATCTGCAAACATTTCCTCGGTGGTTAAACAGAATTTGAAACAAACGTCATTTTTAGAAGCTGGACAATAAAACATGGGACTTGGACCAAAGTTTAAAAAGAGAGATCAAATCAACTTTTAGATTCTGTACAGTCCTTGGACATTGACAGGACAGTCCTAGGTGAATCAAACATGACCATCATGTTTATCACATCAAATATGTTTTTGGGAGCCAGGCTCCATAGAACAGAGGTGTTCATCAAGAATAGTTCGAAACAATGTTTTCTCTAATCTGAGCTGTTTGCGGACGAAGAAAACTAAAGACTTTGTTGCAAAGACACAGGAACATTGTAGCTGGTGGTGGACAATGCTGAGTCTTAGTGGTGGATGACAGATTTTATATTATGACAACCTCAGCTAGTTGACATGTGGCTATTTAAAAAAAGTTAAATAAACAAACAAACAGACACATTCCTCACCCACCGCCTCTTCATGTTGACTCTGCTCTTAACGGGTTCTTAACCCACCTCCTCCTGTCCGAGACACGGCCTACGGTCAAAGTGAGCTTACACACAAACCAAGTGCAGTTACACGGCTAAACAGAACCTCCTCAAAACTCAACCAAAAAAAACCCTGAAACCTCCAGTTGTATAAACATGCTCTGTTTTTTAACCTCTATTGAGTAATAATTTTTATTCATAGAGTTATTTTTTGAAAACCTCTCTGTATTATCAAGTTTGAATTTATCTGTGAGCTGTAAAACACACACATATTAGTTATGTTCTGACGCACTGTTAGTTCTCTGCAGCTCTGACACTATCTGCTGCCTACACAACACAGTGGTCAGCTGATCTGATGCCTCCTTCGCTGGTGAAGGAAAATGCTGACACACACACACACACACACACACACACACACAGCCTTTCATGTTCATGTGAGAATGTAGGGCAGACATAGTTAATGTGCAACCAAGAAATGAAGTGACCAGTAAACACTTAGTGAAACCATTTTAACATTTGTTTGTGTCCTTGTTTATTCTCAGGTGATGTTTAAGGCCAAAGCGAAATTCTCTCCAGAATTCACCAAATACAAGTAAGTCTGTCCTGAAACTGTGTCAGCATTTTGCATCTGCTATGCAATGGTTGTTTCTGTTGTTGAAAAAGTGCCACGTTTTATTCAAATACTGTCACGCATTTTGCATGGGAATTAGGTAACTAAAATATCTGATCTAAATATTTAAATGTATAAATAATCCTATTTACAGTGATCTATTCAGTTATTAGATTAGGCATCAAGATAAAACAAATTACTAGTCATACAGTCATCCAGGTCACGGTCAAGGTTGAAAAGTTCTGTTAGGCAACTTTTAGAAAATTCACGTCCAGTTGCCTAACAGAACTTTTCAACCTTACTAATTAAAATGTGAGTAGAATATTGATACAAACAAAATAAATAACTGCAGTACCCATTTTCTAACACTAGTGGCCACTGTTCTGCATGTCGTTTTTGTCAATTCTTTACCGCTTGTTCTTTTATCTGTCCTGCAATAATTTGACTTGATTATAAAAAAAAATAAAAACTTTTAATGGAAATAAATCTTTTGTTAACTTACTTTGTTTCCCAGGATTCCTCTGCGTCTCTTCTTCCTGTGTCTCAGTGTCTTCTTCCTGGTGGTGAACCTAACATGTGCCCTGTTGGTGGAGGAGGCTGTGGATCAGCCACAATCACCCAGGTCAGAAGAAGCCACGCCAGCAGAGGAGCCTCCATTATTATGTTGTTTCACTGACGCTGATGCTGATGGTTTAATACCTGTTGTCTTGGTCTACAGCGATGGTACAGTACGACACACCGTCCTGGCTCGTGTGCTGATCAACGACAGTCTCTTCGTCCTCTGCGCCGTCTCTCTGTCTGTCTGCATCTTCAAGATCGCCAAAATGTCATCAGCCAATGTTTATCTGGAGTCTAAGGTAAAAACACACACACACACACACACACACACCTACCTAACAACCACCAGACTCCTGCAGGGATCACAAAATAAAATCAGCCAACTATACAACAGGCACAATGTTGTACATTGGTAATAAAAACAGCCTAATATAGTAACACAGTTAGCTCAGCATTTAAAGATGGGATCATTATTGCAAAAAGAGCCAAACATCAGGTGTAATATATAAAGAAAACTCTGAATTAGCTTATATTTTCCAGAGAGATGCCACAAATAATGCAGAAAAGTAGCTTGGAAAATGATAAAAACAGCTAAAACGAGCCATGTCTGCACATATATAGCTGAGGTTTGCTAAAAAAAAAAAAAAAAAAAAAAGCAGTATGCTGTAGAAACGTCCAGTGAAGAATCAGCGTTTTAAAATGAAATTACGATTGGCTGCTGACTTTCTCGTTGAGTTCAAATGTGTTGGTCGGTAATTTTGGAATTTAATACACCACATTCAGTGATAAAAACTGACCACAGGGGGCAGCAGTGGAGCAGTAGCTCCTCAAATCACTGATTTTCTGTCTTCTCTCTGGTGTGGACAGTGAGCGGTGTCCACCAGGTGTCTGACACCGTTTCTTTTCCTACAGGGTACGTCCGTGTGCCAGGCAACTGTGATAGGAGCCGTGGTGATTCTGCTGTACACGTCCAGGGCCTGTTATAACCTGGTGGTGGTGTCTTTGTCCCCCGTGGACAGATCCAGTCCCTTCAACTGTGGCTGGTTCAGTGTCTCTGATCAGGTAAGAGGAAAACTCTAGTTGTGGATTACTGTGTGTGTGTGTGTGTGTGTGTGTGTGTTTTGTGTGTGGGCCTTTTTTGCAGGCCTATAGAGTACGAGGGTAATTGCAGATTAGAGATTTAGTTTGGAGTTAGGATTAGAACAAAGGTCAGATTAAAATTTGGGAACGGATTAAGATTAGGCATTTGTAACAATTGAGGTTAGGATGTAAGGACTGGGAATGTATTGGTTCTATGTGAAGCGTGTGTGTGTGTGTGTGTGTGTGTGTGTGTGGTCTGCCGTTGTAACCTGACCAGATAACAGCTGTCAGTCCAACAACACAAACTGATGTTTGTTCTATTTCCGTATATCTGATATGATCAGAGATACAGTTCCTCCTCCTCCTCCAGTGTAAACACACACACACACACACACACACACAGTACTGTACAGTAGTTCCTGGTACCTCCATGGTCCACATGGTTCTTTGTTCTGTCTCCAGTATTTTTTATTTGTGTTCTTGCCAATAGTATCTACACTGATACGAACTGGAAGACAGTGTTGTAGAGGTGGCCACGTTGGTGTGTGTGTGTGTGTGTGTGTTTGTAAAAGAGAGTTGAACCCACAGCCAGTTTTATTTTCTTGTCTTTCCTACAGAAGGTCTTGGTTCAGTATTGGAACTGAGCTCTGTCCAACCTGAGGACATTGTTGACCAACCAAACTCTGCGGCCTGAGTTATAATCCCGCTGCTCTTCCTAAGTCTCAGTACTGGTTCCTGTAGTTAAAATTGCACAGTTCCAGGTTCCTGCAGTAGAACCACAGCAGCCCCTGGATTCACAGCTCGATGTTTCTGGAAGTTCCTGGATGTTTAGGGCAGAGATGGTCCCGTGGTTGACTCCTCAGGTCTTCTCTGTGTGTTTGACTGATGCAGGCTGACGTACAGCAGATCAGCGGTGTAGCCTACATCGTGTTCGGGATCATCCTGTTCTTCTGGGAGCTGCTGCCCACCAGCCTGATGGTGATGTTCTTCAGAGTCCAGCGGCCCAACCAAAACCTGGTAATTAAATACCGAAACACCATCGGTTCAACTCCCTCTGAGCCGTAACGTAGTGATGAGTCGACGCCAAATGTCTCCACTGTCCAGGTTCCTGGAGGGATGATCAACAGTCACAGCTTCAGCTCCAGATCCTTCTTTTTTGACAACCCGCGACGCTACGACAGTGAAGATGATCTGTCCAGAAGCATCAACAGAAATGACAGGGCAAGGTGGCTGTCTTTACACACACACACACACACACACACACACACACAGCTCTGATACATACATATGTGGATCACAGCCAGAGGAACAAGCTAACACAGCTTCAACGTCAGAGGTGGCAATGTGGGTTGGCGACCCCTAGGGTCCATAGATAAAATTACATGAGGTTCGGTGGTCATTTCTGTATTAAAATGTATAGACCAGAGGTCACAACAGTGATGGCTGGGTTCCATTTAGCTTTCTGAGTTTGTTAGAAATCTCAGTAAGAATCAAAGTAAAAAGCATATCATTAGCCTCTGTTTTTCTTTTACTAAACTAGTAAAGTGAAAGAAATAAAAACTGCTTCATTTGAACCCCTTCCTCCCTCCAGCCTCCTCTCCTCCGCCCCCCAGCTGGGAGCCTCCACCTGGTACGGCTCCATCCAGTGTAACGGGACAGTGACAGCTGCCGTAGCATCCGCTCAAGAACCGCCTTCCTCCACTGCCCCGCTCCTCTTCGCCTACGGGAACATCCAGCGTCACCACCACCATCACCACCACAACTACTATTCCACCCCTCAGAACAACAACAACCCCCAGCACCATCACCACAGTAACTACTACTCCGGCTCACAGAACTATTTCTGTGGCTCGCAGACCAACGGCTCCACCCCACAGAATTAGGAGACATTGATAAATAGACCAGACTGATGGTGTGTATCATCAGACTTCACCAGAGCAGGTGGTGTCCAAGGATGGTCTAAACCACTTCTGGGGCCCACGCTGGGTATACGCCGTGTGCACAAAGTTACTACCCCTATAAGGCAGGTGCCCAATTGGATCTCACATGTTTTACAGAGCGTACACCTCAAAATGATTTTGCTCTTCGTCAAGTTTCATTAGTATGACCAACATTAAGATACAGAGGTGCAGGTCAACTAAAGACTGTAGTGGAAGGAGATAATCTGTTCCTAATGAGATTATTAGCCTATCTACACACTGTACAGAAGTAGCATTCTGACAGAGAGAGAGAGAGAGGGAGAGAGAGAGAGAGAGCAAGCCAGGATACATACTGTAACAGCTGCATTTGAAAACTAACCAACTCACACAATCCTATTTGAATTTGGATTCCTTTATTTGCCACTAGAGGGAGCCCAAGTACCACCAGTCCAGTGGTATGGACACCATTCTTTAGAACAGTGGGTTTAAATGGAACAACAACAAAAAATCAAGCTTTGACAGGAATTAGCTCCCGCTAATTCGCCTTTGGTTGAGGACAAGCTTCAGCTACTAGCAAACATATAGGGTTGGTTTATAACCAAACTACAAAAAATACAAACAAAAAAAGCTCTCTGCACGCTTATATTCGTTTCATTTAAGCAAATGATTACATGTTAAACTGTGATTAATCTTCAGTGCCAAACAAAGGCTGCTAACAATCCTGTAAAGTTATTCCAAGCTACTTGTACAAGCTGCTTTGCTTTTGCTTTGAAAAAGTGCGAATTTCAGAGATTATTACGATTTAAAAAGTAAATTTTTTTTTGTCTTAGTCACACTGCTGCCATGTGAACTGCAGTGTGGAGCACAAACCTGGTCCAACGGTTTAAAGCTGTGAACGGCTGCAACAGGGTCGGAGGAATCCTGTGAGAACAAAGAGTTAAAGTAACGCCCAGGTGTAGAGAAAAACTGCAGTAAGTCAAACTGGAGAGTAGCATCACAACTGTGTGGAAGGTGTGTTTTCTACATACAAGATATTTGACCAAAAAGCCAACTTTTTGTGGGCTGTGACCCTCTTTTGCACTTAAAAGTTGACTATTGGATAGAAGAGGTGAAAGAGTTTGAATGTACAACTTTGTCTCCTTTTAATTTTTAATGTCGTTTTTTTTTTAATCACGATCATCATCAAATTCTGCCAAAGAACTGATCCAATGAGCAGGTTCATCATTCCACCAAGGAGGTGTCCTTGAGGAACCACTGCGGCTGCAGTTCGTGGAACGTTTCCAGTTATTTGCCAATGCTGTTCCATTTATACATTCCCAGTAGAGTAGGAAGCTCTTTTGAGAGAGACATCTAAGAAAGACTTTCGAGTTAGAGAAAGGCAGCATCCATGTGCCAATACATTTTTAACCCTATCAAAGATTTTTCATTCCTTAAAGAAAATATTTTTGCACAAAAAAATGATCGGGGTGTTGTATGTTTCTTCTTCTTTTTTTTTTAAACCTTGCTGTGTGCATACTTATACATCTGCATCTCTGTGTGTTAGGTTAGCTCAGGCATGGGCAAACTACGGCCTAGGGGCCAGATGTGGCCCATTTGGCTATGGAATTCGGCCGCGAAACTTGTCTAATTTATGTTATTGATTTCTATCACTATATTTCTGCCTTTTTCCTGCACTGATGGTGTAGAAAAGGCTAAAAGCATTTAAGCATTTATGCACGACTTTTACACGTCATTTGTCTTAGTTCATACGAACACTTCATCTATCTGCTCCTGACCCGGCCTCCATGTCAAATTTTAGGACCCATTGTGGCCCACGGGTCAAAAAGTTTGCCCGCGCCTGGGTTAGCTGGTACGAGTGTAACCTTAATAATAATAATAATAATTGCTTATATTTTTATAGCGCCTTAAGGTTCATTTACAAATAATCAGGACATTTTTGTGAAGGTTTGTTTGGTCGTCCAGATCTTTTCTGATGCAGGGACTTGGAAATGTCTTGCTCAGAATGAGGTTCCTTATAACAAACGTTTAAGCACTTTTAATCCACCAATTTACAAGGAAGCCCAGGCAGGACATCCAGAAAGATCCGGAGATGCCAATCTGTGACCAGGACAAGATCCTGTCCTTGTAAATGCTTCCCTGCGTGGACTAACAGCTCCTGGTACTTTAGGATGGAAATGCAGCTAAAGTCGTAGCAGAAGTGTGCTTCTATCAGCCTTTTACGTTGTGTTTGGACATGGATCTACTGTCTGCCTGATTTTATAGTTTAGTTTTTCACTCTCCTTGATTCCTAACCTTATGACTGTCATGATCCGTGAGCTTGATCACTTTAATGAATTCTTATTCTTATTGGGCTGAAATCAGCACTTATGACCAAAACCCTTATCAAGCATGTGAACTTTAGAGGAGCAGTGTGTTACATTGACCATACATTCAGGGCTTGTAGTCATAACAAAAAAGATTTAAAAATCAACAATAACATCATTATTGTTGATTTATGCCCTAAATCCCACTGCTCCTGTAAATGTTAAAATCTGGTTTTCTTTCTGTCGTACATGTTCTTGTGTGTTTATAAGTGTGTCATTTGCTCTATCTGCTTATGTTTGATATCATACTTTCAACCATGGCCAAAGTGAATGTAAATGTTGAGACAGATCACTAACAATGTATGGGTGAGAAGCACTACCATGTTTGGAACCAATTAAAGGCCCAATGCACTGTTTTAGACATGACTCTGGAGACATTCATTAGGTTCATGTTTGGCAGGACAGCTAAAAAATGTTGATGTGACACCAGCGCACAACTGGTTTCATAATTACAGGAGTTTTAAAAGAACTGAATGCTACAAAAAGAATGGAAGCTATAAATTATTAAAGGACTATATATAAAAATTACTAAAACAATTCACTGATGATTCCATAAAAATAACTACAAATGTAAAAAGAAAAAACAGGTTAGAAATGACAAAATCTATGTGATAAATATTTTAAAGCCTACTAATTGTAAAAAAAATTAAGATTGTCATCAAAGGTCAGACTAGATAAAAGTAAATCTGAGAAATTAAACTATGATAAAAGAAATGATCTAATTGGTAAAAAAAAAACCCTCCAAAATGAATACATAAAAAAATGCTAGAGAAATAGCCTGCATTTTACCAAATAGAGCAAAAAATATATTTTTTAAACAAACTACCGTTGGAATTTGGTTAGAGGCATTTTGTCTGCTCCTATTACCAACCACTGAAGGTTACTGTTGCCACTTTGGGGAAAAAAACAACTTGGGGGATGTTTTCTAAAAGTTCAATCTGTCTATTAAGTTTTTTTTGTTGGGAAAATAAGTAAATCATATTTCAGGTTTGTGCTGATTATTAGGATGTAACTATTAGGAATAAGAATGTAGACAAAAAGCCTAAAGACATTAACTAACAAAGTGTTGGAATTTAGCAGAAAATGTTTTAAATACTTTATATATTTAATATACATATTTCTAAATATATTTTATATTTTTAACAATTGTTAACAAAGTCCAGCTAAAATATACACAGCTGTGTACGAGTTCCATTGGTCTCCAATAAGCTACATTCACACCTCAACCCTTGTGATCACACGTTCCTCCCTCTAGTTTTGGGTGTTTGATCATCTCCTGTTTCAGGTACTCATCCACTGAAGTTCAGTACCACCACTTTCCAAGCAGTCACTCAGTTGCCCCTCCCCTCCTCCCACTTCAGTTGTCCTTCATGTAACTGCTGTAAGCTAAAATATACCTTTACCAGCAGCCAATGAGTCAGAAGCTAACATGGCTACAAGTTGGCTTGTGTCCATACCACACATTCAGCAATGAGCAGCAACACTGGTAAAGAACTCATTAAAGGTAAAGAAAGAGGAAAAGCAGTTGATTTTGATACTGACTTTTTAATTTGGAGTCAAACTGAACAACATGTGATTTTTTTGACAGAACTTTGTGTTCAATCTAATACTCGTCTCCTTCCTCCTCTCCCTCTCCTTCGACTGAGTCCACTCCCACCTCCTCGTAGTCCTTCTCCAGCGCTGCCATATCTTCTCTGGCCTCAGAGAACTCTCCTTCTTCCATCCCTTCACCCACATACCAGTGGACGAAGGCTCGCTTGGCGTACATCAGGTCAAACTTGTGGTCCAGACGAGCCCAGGCCTCGGCAATTGCTGTAGTGTTGCTCAGCATACACACTGCCCTCTGGACTTTGGCCAGGTCACCTCCAGGAACCACTGTGGGGGGCTGGTAGTTGATGCCCACTTTGAAGCCCGTGGGACACCAGTCCACAAATTGGATGGTGCGTTTGGTCTTGATGTGGGCGATAGCGGCGTTGACGTCTTTGGGCACCACATCACCACGGTACAGAAGGCAGCAGGCCATGTACTTACCATGGCGAGGGTCGCACTTCACCATTTGATTGGCGGGTTCGAAGCAGGAATTGGTGATCTCAGACACTGACAGCTGCTCGTGGTACGCCTTCTCTGCTGAGATGACAGGGGCGTAGGTGGCCAGAGGGAAGTGGATACGAGGATAGGGCACCAGGTTGGTCTGGAATTCTGTCAGATCAACGTTAAGGGCTCCGTCAAACCTCAGGGAGGCTGTGATGGAGGAGACGATCTGACCGATCAACCTGTTCAGGTTGGTGTAGCTGGGACGCTCGATGTCCAGGTTCCTGCGGCAGATGTCGTAGATAGCTTCGTTGTCCACCATGAAGGCACAGTCTGAGTGCTCCAGGGTGGTGTGGGTGGTCAGAATGGAGTTGTAGGGTTCTACCACAGCGGTGGAGACCTGAGGAGCAGGGTAGACGGAGAACTCCAGCTTGGACTTCTTACCATAGTCTACAGACAGACGCTCCATCAGCAGGGAGGTGAAGCCTGAACCAGTACCACCACCAAAACTGTGGAAAACCAAGAATCCCTGCAGACCAGTGCACTGGTCAGCCTGTGGACAGAAGAGTAGGACATCGATCCAGATGAAGATCTGAAATTTCACATTTTCTGTACTATATTTCTTTACAGTGTTAATTAAGAATCAACTGCCAATATGTTTTGTCGATAAAATTAAGTCCATTACAACAGTCTAATGTTTGTAGTTGCTGAACCTAATGGTGTTTGGTGCCATCAAACACACTGTTTTTTTTAAACAAATGTTTTTAGCAGCTCGAGACTCCATGTCTTGCTGTTGAAGCCTGCAGACTCAGAACAAAACCTGTTTCTTGGTGTAATTTATATAACATATTTCAGCAGTGCATGAGAGAGATTACAGACAAAGTCAAATAAAAAAAAACTCTGACAGAGAAGATGATACAGCAAATAAATATAGCGGTGGTAACATGGCTTCATTAACTCACCAGTTTGCGGGTCCGGTCCAGAACCAGGTCAATGATTTCTTTGCCAATGGTGTAGTGTCCACGGGCATAGTTGTTGGCAGCATCCTCCTTTCCTGTGATCATCTGCTCAGGGTGGAAGAGCTGACGGTAAGTTCCAGTGCGGACCTCATCTAGTGAGACAAAATAGACACTCAATTTAATTTTTTGAACAATTTTGTTTCAATTCTGATTTAAAATTGAACTTTTGAATCCAATTTTTTTGGATATGACCTCACCAATGACGGTTGGCTCCAGGTCGACGAACACAGCTCTGGGAACATGCTTTCCAGCTCCAGTCTCACTGAAGAATGTGTTGCAGGAATCGTCACCTCCTCCCACAGTCTTGTCACTAGGCATTTGTCCGTTGGGCTGGATTCCATGTTCCAGACAGTAAAGCTCCCAGCATGCATTGCCAATCTGGACTCCGGCCTGACCAACGTGTATGGAGATGCACTCACGCTGAAGGATGACCAGTTTCAGGGTTTTTTTTTTTTTTTTTTAAATCAACAGCTGCTGGACAACAGGGAAGCTAAGCAGTCAACCACTTAAACACATCATGCTGCATCAGTACTGGAGCATCAGGATAACAACTCAGCAGATCTTTCCTGCATCTGTAATGCCTTTCTCAGACTCAGCGCTGAAAGGGCAGTTTATCCATGTCTGGTTGAGTCTCTCTGCCTGAACCAAGCATCTGTTTCAAAGGCATGTCTTGATGTGAATCACAGATGTCAGAATTTAGGTCGAATCAGTAAAAACGACCATTTATTCTCTAATGGTGAGAAGAAACCAGTATGATTTTCATACTGATGATTTTAACTGCAATGCACACTTTGCTTAATCTGCATACAACTGATCATTTCACAAACCTGGTGTGACGTAGTCACAGAGCCACTAATTATGTAGTCCTAGTCTCTAAAATCAGATTGTTGCAATACGTCTGTTATCAACGATGTCGACGAAGCAACAAGTCATAATAAAACCCATACCTTATAATACGGAATTTTGAGGAACTATCACATTTCGAATATTTGGATTATAGGCAGTGACGTCATTTTTAAGAAGAAAATGATGGTGGTGGTGGTGATGCTGGAGGAAAAACACTAGTTTGTCTTTTATTAAAAAAAATAAAAAATTCAGTAGTCTGCTCCTATTCAGCCACGTCCTATGACAGTACTATGGTGGGCAGAAAGGAAAGAAACGATAAAAGTGAAAGCTTTATAGCCAGGATTGCTAAGTACAAAAAAATGCGTCACAGCAAGGTTGGACCCAATCTGACGCGATTCATTCCGTTTACACTGCAATTTTAGAATTCGGCTCAGTTCACACTAGTCCATCTCTTTCAAACCAGAACAAAATAGAATTCACCTTCCAAACGGTATATTCACAACTCCATAAAACGACTTAAACTGAGTAAAAATGTCGTCTAACGAGATTTTGAGTATTTTCTTTAGCTTGTTTCCCGCCGCTACCCCAGAACTGTTAATACAATTATATACATTTTATCAGATATTTATGCGTTTCTTTCTTACCATTTTGAGGCGTTTTCTGGAGTTTTCTGGACTTTAACAGCTTCTGCACACGATGATCTTACACTCCGACCGTTCCTGAGTCGATGTAAGAGATAATGGCGAACATGAGGATGAAGAGTTTTATATTCACAAGTGAAGAAGACCCGGCGCCGCTGGCTGTTGGACTACCATTGGCCCCTGCACCTGTCAGTCTCAGATTTCTGACCGACAGTGTCTTTCTATTGGATAATTGTTGTTACAACACCCACCTTCTTCCTCCTGCTGCCATCATTGTCCATCTGTGAGTTAATCTCGCCATGGAAAAAAAACCCTGCGTCATGCCCATCGTTTATGACCAGGAATACTTTTAACAGTTCTTATTTTAAAATAAATTTGGTAGTTTCCGAATTATTTTTAGAATTCAGAGGTATTGTTAAAATTCTGCGTTTTAAAAATAGTACTGAAAATTACGGCATTTCTCCAACTTTTGAAATTAAAATCTTCATTCTCAAACTGTTGAGAATCAGAATAAATTATTTGCTCGTATAAGTGCCTTCATGATAATAGAAGCCAACCATATGTTGTCCTAAGTATAGTATTAAAACATACTTGGTCATGGAGTGTTGTGGAATTCTTGTACCTTTAAGAATTAAGTGGTGCAGCTGTGTTTGACCAATAACAACTAAAATGTTGTGTAAATGTTTTAAAAACAACGGTAAACATAGTGTCAGTGGTGAGGCTCCTACTTTTCTAAGTTCCAGTGCTTGTACAGTGCAGGATAATTAAACAGACTCTGATCCCTTGATGGAAGTTTACCCTGTGGAGACTAAACTAAGTGAATATGTGTTACTGCTCTGTTTGCATTTTTCTCACACTATTTATCTTTGGGCCAGAAAGGACATTAAATGGTCTTCTTGAAATGACATAATGGCCTTGAAAACAACCAGACTCTGGTTTCCAATAACAAAAGATCTGGGGCGTCAATAACAAAAGCTTTCAGGTCAGAAATGATATGTGTACATTAGCTTTAGTCTGATTGAAAAGAACACAAATTCAAAGCCTCATACAATCTGATCCCAGTAGGTAACTGTAGAGCAGTGGGCCGCCTGCAGCAAACCAAACATCTTTTTTGTATGAAACTGACATCACTCTCAGATATAACAACAAAGAGTGATACCGGGCTAATGCAGCGGTACCTAAACTAGGGCGTTGGTCACCTTCAAGGGACACAAGGGATGCTGTAAGTCCAAAAATGTATTTTCTATATTTGTGCCACTGATTTGATAATTGTATTTACTTTGCTCAATGGAAAAAGCAGGTTTGAGAGGAATTACATGTAATACATGAAATTAACTCTGACGAGTTGACAACAGAAAATATACAGATATATAGAGGGTAAAAATCACCTCATAAAGAGAAAGCTTTTTTTTGGAGCACCTAGAAGCTTTACAAGTTTGTGCTGTGATGGCTGGAAAATATGCTGTGTCACTACATCGAGGATCATGTCTTTGACTGATGCTGTGAGATCAGTTTCAGGACCACTCCCTTGGTCCCTTGGAGAAAGCAGAAGAGGAAAGAGTCAGAGAGAGAGAGAGAGAGAGAGAGACAGAGACAGAGAGAGACAGAGAGAGAGAGAGACAGAGACAGAGAGAGAGATTTAGTGAAGCTAAAATTCACCCTTGTTCAGTCCAGACCCACTGGAAGCTTCTGATTTTACCAGAGACTGACAGAAAGTCAAGTCATGTTTCCTCAGTGGACTGTCACCAAAAGCTGTTGAGTCATACAAGGTTGGTCAAATCTGCTGGTCAGAGGAAGATCATTTAAGGCCGTTATAAAATTTAAATAAAACTTCTGCTTATCTTCTATTCTGCTACAGAATATCCTGCAGTTTTTAAACAAAAAAATGTCAGATCCTTGCAGACTCCACCCACAATACTATATGATCACTACTAAACTGTCTACTAAATCTCATACAATACAAGCTGAGTCATGGTCATTTCACCTTATGAATATATAGGCTCTATATATACTATATAGAAGTCTAATTTAGTCTAAATCATACATGAGTATGTCGTTGATCTTTAACAGCTACAAGGCTGCAGCGGATGTTAAAGGACCATCCACACTCACATTACCTACGGTTCATTTCTATATCCAGTAGCCTTAGTCGACATCTACTTGTTTTTGTACTGTAGGAGGAACCCAGAAGATGGACGGAAACAGATTCCGATATCCTTAAATCACTCCTGCCACCTCGTGGCCCATCTGAGTATGTATACATGTGCATCACAGACCTTTTCCTTAACTGTTCAAATCATAGAGCACCTTGGCTACCGTGTGCGGTTTGCTAGCACACAGACGTACTGTACTGTACAAGGAAGGAAGGAAGGAAGGAAGGAATATTATATACAGGATATTATATACAGCGTTTATACAACTATGCTTACCTCTAAGCAAACGCCACATGATAAACTGCTGTCAATAAAAAAAAGTAGTTCCACCTCCCGAACGGTTGGTCCAATAACATGGCAGAAGCCAAACATCTACACCTCCCGCTGCTTTAATCTAAACTGTCACTGGACCAGCAGTGAAATGTTTTCATGTGCTGCCCCACAGAGGCTGACTTCAATTGAAAAGATATATAAAAAACATCATTACACCATCTGTAACAAACAGTTGGTTCTGAATGAACTAGTCCCACAGTTAAACATATCTGACTGCATTTTAGAAAATTAAATGTAGGAGGAAAGTCAGAGGAAGCAGACTTTCCTTTTGTCATTAAAGAATCACCACTGGCTGATGGTGTTGTTGAGGAATTCTGGGAATGACAGGAGACACACTAGCCTTGTCTCTGTGGGAGACAAAGGTCAACGTGATCAAATCCTAGAATGATCTTTTCTATAGTGTAAAATAGTAAAATAGTGTGATTAAACGTGATTAAAAAAATGAAACAATGTGGAGGTTTATATTTAATCATTCTTTTATTTCATTCTTTATAAATACTTTCTGTACAGAACTCTGGTTCTATTTAAAAAAAGGCATATACAAAAATTTCACACATTTCTAACTTGTGACACAATTGCATTTGGGAGGTTGGATATAAAAACAGAAAACAAAGACATGGCACTGATTGTTAATTTGATGAGAAATGTGTATCAAATGGTACAAAATCATTGATTTCCTATAGTAAGACAAAATCTAGACCAGAGTGTTTCAGTATTGCTAATGTCTCCTGAATAAAATATGGCTCATGTGGTACAATATAAACATATATAAATATTGAGCACCAGCTGCAGATGTGATAAAAGTGGATCCAGGTGTTTAGACCCCCTGGTCTGTCTGATGTCCTTCAGTTACTGATGTCCTCTGTGTCGCTGATGTCACTGAGAGAACACAGTGTGCTCTTCAACGTACTTCCTGTTCCACCAGCTGAAACAAACAAACAACAAACAGATTCTAAAGACCATGTCAGACGAAGAGAGTTTTTGTGTGAGTGTTAAATGTCACAGCCAGACTGCCATCACTGAGGGGACATCTATTCTCTCTGTCTTCTCACAACAACAGCATGTAGTTCCACTTTTTACCATACGGTGGCGGTGTAACGTTACCAGTAAAGTGTATTTTGTTCTACTTCTCTTCATGTAAAAATATCAATATTCAAAATTCAGTCTTTTGGAGTCCTAACAAGTACTTTTACAATATTCTGAAATCTAATATTGTCATATAAGCATTTTGCAGGACTTGGAAGAATTCCTGTAGTGTTTTTCCTTTTTATCAGCTAAAGCATTAATTCTCACAGAGGGCGCTGGTCTCCTAGGGTCCCTAGCATACAGATTAATTAAAAATATAAATATTTCAGGACAAGCTAAAAATAACAAAGTTTTTTTCTGGTGATTGCTAAACAAACCATTGTCCAGCCATGGTCAGGATTCGAACACCAACCCAGTCATCTAACGTCTAGGCCACATGCCTCCAGATATTACTAAAGACAGGATCCACAAACCTGATTTTGGAGCTTTTCCCGTAGACGTTCCCCAGACACTAGTGCTGGGAGAGTCCTGACTCTTCCTCTGAAGACTTCCTCCAGCTTTGTCCGGTTTGTCCTCCAGAGAAGAGACGACCCAGTCACTGCTCTCCTCTAGGTCTGTGTACTGTCAAACACAAACTCATGTATTATTTTACATTCACTTCACCTTTCATTCAGACATAGACTAAAATTCTGTCCTGGTCCCACCGTTAGATCCTGCACGTCATCTTTCCTCTCTGTTAAGATGCTGACGCCCCCTGCTGGTTTCTTTATCGATCTCTGGGAAAGCTGCTGCTCCATTTTTCTGGCTAGGATGTTGATTTTGTTCTCTAAAAGAATAAAAAAACATAATCAGAAGTGTAATACCTAAAAACCACTCACAAACACCGCTTCTCTATCAGTGATCAGTACGACTATATACTAACCTTAGTAGAATAGACCAAGAAAACATCATAAAATAATGAAAAGAAATGCTACCAATTCCCCAAATGCTAACATACACTTAAAGGTTAGGCCAAAAATGGTTTCTAAAAGATAACCACCAGTTAGTAACTCCACAAATGTAGTTGCTTGTTATTGTATTGTTTAGAACAAATGTACATTTGAAACAAGGTCTCACCCTTTCCAAAGCTTCTCTTCTCCGTGTTACCGTTCTGGTCCCTGTACGACTGCAGCTGCCCGGGGTCGATCTCCTGCAGCTCACTGACCTCAGACCAGTCACCATCATCTTCATCCCTCTCCATCGCTGTGACTGTTGTCTTGGTCACTGCCGACCCCCTGGGCGGCTGGGAGTTGGAGGAGAACAAAGGTCTGGTCTGCAGTGGACTGGACTTGCTGGATTTGACCTGGACAGGAGATTTGGCCCCGTGGTGTTTCTGCGGTTGGTCATCGTCATCTTCAGATTCTTCATCTGAACTGAAGGGAGGAGTCCTGCAGCACAGTCACCAGAACACTCTTTATTTCCAATCTTCAAAATATTTTCACAAAATCACTGCAATTCAAAAGATCTTTCTTTCAACACTGAGCACTAAGATGGTACTGTAGGTTCATCAACTAAGGCCCATTTCTATCACAGCATCTGGAGACTATTTCAAATGACAGATAACAATAACCTCAGACAAACTGTTTTTACTTGGTTGTGAAAATCCTGGGAGCAGCTTTAGAGTTTGGTGTGGAGGTTTTGGGGTGGCTTGAGTTCTTGGTTCTTGGTGCAGGTTGCGGGGTTTTGGACTGTCTGACAGCAGGTCCTGGTGTGGACTGAGTGACTCTGGAGGGAAGACTACTGGACCGAGGACGGATCTGTAAGACTGCACAAACGCCATGATGCACTGATCAGTTAGTGATGTGGGTCAAATCTCTACTGGATCAATCTGATATAGATCTGATGGTCCTAAAGTCTAGTCCAATCTAGCCTGGGGTACTTGAGTTCTGGGCCACACCTTGAACGGGCTGCCTGGACCCAGACTGTGCCTCTGTTACAAAGTTGTTTCCTCTCTTCTCTCCTCCCATCTTCTCATGTATGGAACTCGCTATGTCCTCACGATGGCGCCAGTAGTCAGGCATCCTGGAGGCAACACCGTCTCTCTTTGAATAAATCTTTGCCAGGATGGAAGTCAGTTCCTTCTTCTTCAGACCTGGTTGTTCCTGAAGAGAAGAAAAACCAGAGGAAATGACAGTGAGTTGAGAGACATATTGGACTGTGAAATGATCAAAGTCCATGGTAGAGAGAGGGAGAGAGAGAGAGAGGGAGAGAGAGAGAGCCTACAGCTTTGACTCCCAGGTTCTCCAGCTTTTTGAGGACGGTGTGCTCCAGTTCTTTCCTAATCTCCTTCTTCATCCTGGGATCCTTCTTCAGAGCACTGGTGTTCATCCGCTGTTTTCTGTCTCGAAGAGGTTCAGGCTTCTTCTCCACTGACCTTCTCTCTGAGTAGCTGCTGGAGTCTGAAAAAGATAAAACACATCCAATCGTTCACTCCTGGACGTTCAGTCTGATTGTCATCTACAGTGGGTCTGACCATGTATGAAGTACAGTAGGTTGGACAGCAGACTGCATGCTGCAGGAGCAGGTGGGGAGGTGACATTGGACAGTGGCAGAGCGAGCAAACAACGAAGATCAGCATGGGAGCTTTTTGTCTGTTTCCATATTTGGGCAAGGTTTTTATATAATGTCACTTGCTTATTCCCAACACTGTACAAGGGGTCCTTGGTTTACGATCTCCTCGACCTACGGCCTCCCTTAAATTTGTCAGTAAAGTCTTGTTCAATCATTTCGTCTACGGTGTCAGAAATCGTCAATAGTTTGTATGGGAACTAGTTGACAAGCAATGAATATTACTACACTGCACCGTAGTAACAGAACTCCGATGTAAGTCAAGGACCCCCTGTATGTGAAGACCTGGTGGAATACTCTGTTGATGCATGCTTTGTATAGCACAACATTTCCACTCCAGTAGATGGCGCACTCTAGGTTAATTCCAAAGCATCAACAAAGACCATTACTTGCTGAAGGTGATGTCAAAGAAGATGTACGTTATGATCAGCAGCCGGTTGTCGAGGACTTTATGGAAAAAGCTGTTTTTTATGATGTCATGAGTGAAAGAACATGAAGATGATCAGAAGAGAACAGCTGGATGGAGCCTGGATGAAGGAGGGCATGCAGACGAGCGGCTCTGCTGTACCTTTCTCCTCCTCCGTCAGCTCCTGTATAGGATCCAGGTTAAAAGCAAAGACCGGCTCCTCTACATGTACAGGAGGTGAGGACAAAGGACACGGGAGGGCAGGGAGCAGGGTAAAAGAGGAGTTAAAGGAGCTGTGGGCCACAGATGGAGGAACAGTGTGCTGGAGCAGCAATACATCTTTACAACACGGAGCCATGCTTTGGACAAACAGCTGCATTTCCACCAAGGTCTACAACACACTTCAGCTCACTGTGCTAGAGTTTGGTCAGCAAACACTGAGTTACATTGCACAAGTTAACAGACACCTGTGAGCTTGTAGTGGAACAGCAGTCAGTATCAAAGGAGGGTTTTTCCTCTTTTTAAAATAGGAATTTCAAATTAAACATTGCCAACCTCTTTACTTACGCTTTACTAAGGCTTATAGTTTGCCTCAGTATCAACTTTTACTTGTCTGACTTTAAAGGCTTGTTGTTTTTTTTGTTTTTGTTTTTTTAGCCAATTGCCAACTTTAGGAGTGGATGAGATGGTGAACATGTGGCCGAGTGAGAAATTCAAATTCTTTTGTAAAAAACTTACCAAGTACGACTCTCTTTGGTTTGGGCTCTGGTGCTGCAGTGGACACTGGAACATGAAAAACAAGACGTGTGTTACAATCACACTGCACATGTAGGAACAGAAAAAAAACATAGTGAAAACCAAATCACACCTGTTGTTTCCGTGACCTTGGTGGGAGGCTTTGAGGAAATGCTTCTCATCTGTAAGAAAGAAATAATTAACATGTGATCGATGCCGTAAAGGAAAACCATTTATCCATAGTCAATAATCTGTAAATGACGGCTTTAATCATGTTATACTGCACATTCATCAACCAGATAAGATCAGTCTGACCTTTGAACATGAGGTCAAGTCGTATTAACATTAACATCTCAGCCATGTCTTCTCTTCACCTACAGCAAACTTAACAGCTTTGATTGTTGACTTTTTTTAGTCCAAATCTCTGTTTTGGGAGTTGCTTGTTGTCACACCATGTTAAGCATGTATTTTTTTTGTCCTTGAATGCTGAGAAGTTTCATGGAAAACACTGCGGCTGCTGCCAGACGTACAGTGTCATCAGATCTCATTTCCAGCCAATCTGAGTTCATACAGCAAATACAGGAAATCCTGAACAAGTGGAGTGGAGCCGCTGAATCACTTCCTCACTTCCTGACATAATCAGAGTGAGTGTAAATAAGCTCAGACCTGTTTCCTCTGAGCCTGGATGGTCTGCTCCTTCTCCTGCAGCCGCCTCTCCACCTCCTGCTGCTGCTGCTGCCACTGACTTCGCTCCTGGTGCATCCGCGACACAGACGTTTGCATCCTGCTCAGCTCCTTCTGCAGCTGGAACACACCACACACTGGTTTGTTTGAACCCTCATCATCGACCATCACAGTGACACTGTTCCTCTACAGTACATGAACCTGTACCTGAGTTTTTTCAGACTCGTGCTGAGCCTTGATTTCCAGGAGTCTGGTCTCTATTCTCTTATCCTGCAGCAGAAAGAACATTTACAGACGTTTGCTCAAAGGTTGGTAACTGTCTGCTCTGACTGATCTACTGACCTGCTTCTTCAGCTGCTGCTCCAGCTTCTGAAGGGCCTGACTCTGCACGTCCTTGTAAATGTCCACGTCTCTCTCAGGCAGACCAGACTTCTCATGTCTGGCCGTCAGATTCTGATTGGCTTCCTATGAACGAAAACACATGGGAGGTCGTATTTAAGTGTGTACAGAATGAACTCAGGTGTAAAACTAAGAGGTTTGTCTTACGTTCAGAGCTTGAATATTTCGAGCCATCTCCTCAGCTTTAAGACGCTCCAGCTCCTTCATCAGGTCTTTATGCATGGACTGCAGCTCGTTCTCCTGGAGGTGGACAACAATGATCTGCATTAGAGGTTTGTGGTGTTTGGATGCACAAGTCATTTGTATAATTTGTTTTACATGACTTTAATTTTGGTCTTCCCAGAAATCAGGGAAAGATTGTGGATGTCTGCTGTAGAGTGATTTGAGACTGAGCTAAAAACGTTGTTTTTTGTTGACAAAATTGTTATCCTTTTTTTCCCCCTCACCAGAGTATTTTTGGCCTGCAGACTCTGTTGCAGCTGAGCTATCTGCTCTCTCTGGTTGATGTTCTCCATCCTCAGGTTTTCAATCACAGACTTCTTCTCGATCTCTGAACGTAGTTCTGCAAGAACGCCATGAAAACGATTCAGACTAAGTAGACAATAAATCACTTGAAACTATATTTGATAATCGGGCATCACATCAAATATTACCTCAAATAACAAAGACTCACCTCTAATAAAAACACGTGATGTGATGTGACATAACTAATTATTTTGTATTATTTTCTGTAGAGGATAAAAAATAATTTCCCTATTCCACAGAAACTGACTCAGACTGATTTAGCTTTGAAGGTATGTCTACAAATATCAGCAATACAGAATAAATTAACAGTTTAAAAAACACAAAACATAAATATATATGAAATGATCAGGTCTAATGGTTACATTTGACATATTGTAACATTCTTTATCAACTTGTTTGAACTCACGGCTCTCTAGCTCTTCTGGATGTCGTCGTTGTATGTGACTCTCCAGAAATGTGCTGCTCAGGAAGGTCTTCTCACAATGGATGCACTTTTTAAAAAATGTGAAAAAAAAAACCCACAATTGAATATTTAATGTGAAAATTGACATCAGTAAAAAATATTTTTTGGAGTTTTTTCCACCAATCCCACCTGAGCAGTTTTGGCCTGCAGGGTCTGCTGCAGCTGAGTGATCTGCTCCTTCTGACTGCTGATCTCCGTCCTGAGGTTTTCAATGACTGACTTATTTTCACTGTCTGAACGCAGCTCTGTAAAAAGGCAGCAGAAGAAAAGAACATTTAGAACGCTGATGTTCGTGGTGAGTGTTTGATCATCAGTGAGTGAGTGTTCAGTTGTCTTATTACAGCTTCAAATCACCCAGTTTCAAAATAATAATTTTAGGTTCAGTACAGCTGGTACCAACAGCAGAGCTCCACATGTAAACCTGAGAATTCTGGGTCAAAATCACTTCATAGGGTGGACTCTCACTCTGGACTCAGACTTACGGCTCTGGTACTCCTCAGGATGTCGCCGCTGCATGTGGCTCTGCAGGAACATGCTGTTGAGGAAGGATTTCTCACAGTGGACGCACTGGAAGAAACAGAGGACATTCTTAAACAATATATAATATGACACTGGGAATGTTACTGAATCCTTACTGAATCATTTTATATCATTCTCAGACTTTTTTACAAATGTTAAAGTAAGACTAAATATGAAAATTTTCAAATTTCAAAGGTTTGAAAATTAAAGTACCTATGAAGTGAATGGTCATCAACAAAGGCTCATTTTAAGACGACGAAGGCAAATAGACAATTGATTTTAATCTTGAATCAATGATACACTTAAACAAACGTCGTAACGTGGGTTCATTCAATTTCTGCCAAGAAATGTTACAAACTGCTCCTTTAATCTGATGTAAACCAATCACCGCTGTGCAAACGACTAAATTACATCAGAAAAGGTTCCACCTGCGACGCCTCGTAGGAACATGAACGAGGAGCAAATGTCAACAGTCAGTGAACCACATGGCCTATGAATTATTGAGCCAAGCTTTGACTGCACTCCTAGCAACCGCATGCTGTCATGACTCACTAACTGTTACCGTGGAAACAGCACGTCCAGGGTCAGCCTGACCAGTAGCAGCTGCGCACGTGAAGGACGCAGCGGAGGATTTTGGTATAAAATAACTGAGCTTAATTTTAAATAAATAAATATTTAATGGATTTTTGTGGTTGATTTGGACCATGGGAAATTTGAATTATGAAATCTAGGGTCCAGGTTAAATCAGAATATGACAATAAGACAATAACAGCCAGGTTCAGCATTTGTCTCCTCTTTGAACATGGATTAAATGAAGGATTGTGATGCCATCTGTTCTGCCACTAAACACTGAATCGTATTCTCTCAATTTTAGAATAAAGCCTCTTATGAATAGGGATGATGTCATCAAGACTGAAAATCAGTCTTTCTTTCATTCAATTCTGCCCTGAAATGCACAAAAAAGTGACAATGAAAGATGAGAAGAAAGGAGAGGAGCTGCTCAATGTGTGTGTGTGTGTGTGTGTGAGAGAGAGAGAAAGAGAGAGAGAGATTGTGTTGGGGCGGGGGTTGCCATACATGTGTGAAATGTAAATGCTCTCAAGAGAATAAGTGTTTTTCCTCGCAACAGCACTAGAACTGATGCTGTTTTTGTTCTGAAACATTCTGAAACTTTTTTAGCCTCCAATTCAAACCTAAACATAAATTCGGACTAGGCTCTCACACCATATCAAGCTAAAAGATGTACTATATCTTTAAAAAAAAATCCAAAGATCCTGGTATGACTATATCTTAACCAAAGTAAAACAATAATGTTGTCAGCAGAAGCTGAAGATGTGCTAAAAACAACTAAAGCTGACCGAGACACAAAATCTAGTCTTGAATTAAATGCTGAAAACATCAGATAAACTGTAACAGTAACTGTCATTAAATAAATAATAAAATATTGAAGTCATGCCTGGTAACGTTACTAAGGTATCTCCACCTAACCTCTACTGAGAGTTCATCCCGAGTCAGCTCTACCTTCTGTCCACTGATGATCCGCGGCACCAGCAGCGACTGCTGTGTTCGTATGATCTTCTTCCTCTGCTTCAGCTCCGCAGCCATGGTCTTCACCTTCTCCTCCTGTTTGTTCTGCTGCTCCAGCATCTCCTGCTTCTCTCTGCCTCTGGCCTCTAGCTTCTCCTCCGCCGCCTGCAGGTTCATAGCCAGCACCTCCTGACAGTGCAGCACCCACTCCACCGTCAGCTGAGCCAGCCGCAGCAGTTTGATAAGAATCGGGTCCACGGGGCTCTGGCAGCGTTGGCAGCGTTCTCCCTCCAGGCTGCAGAAGGTCACTGTGTTGATGTGCTCCTGGAGAGTGTCCACATCCAACCGGCTCGCTACCAGGTCCACGTCCACAGCGTTGATGCGGCGCCAGTCCACGGTCTCTCTGCGAGGGCGAAACTTGAAGGGGAGAATGCTGGAGGCTCCGCTGGAAGGAGTCATGGCTGCTGGAGGTGCAGAGTTCTGACTGAGGGGAGAGGTCAGGAGAGACGGGATCCCTGCTGAGGACTGGGTTCCCTGGTTCTCACTGGTGTAAGGGAAGTAGACGCCTTCATGAAATGGCTAACGAAAAAATGTCACAGAGAAAGAGACACAAGTTATGACTAAATCCTATTTTACCTGCCCTCTGCTGGAGCCACACACGTACTGATATTAAAATTCTATATCATCATTCAGAAATACACAAAAGTCAGGAAGCTAAATGTTTACTACCAAATATCTAAAGCCAGTAGCAAAAACAGCAGCGATTATGCTACGATCTAAATCTATAATTTAGAAAAAAAATTAAGAAAATTATCAGTTGAATATATCAAATATCACTGGTTAACTTTGGTTATCATTTAAAGCTAAACATCGACCAAAACATCAATTAATGTTCAAGAAACAAAATCAACAAAAAAGACTTAATAAATAATTAAATAATTATTCAATAACAGTATTTAGGGGTTTAAAAATAGAAAATGAAATAATAGTTAAGACTTATAAATAATTTAATGAAAAAAAAGAAGAAGAATGTTAATGTACAAAACGACTGCGAACACTAACGTGAAATTGGCCTCAAAGCAAAGGTTGAAAAATTAGTTCATGAAAAAAAAAACCTAGCTAAAATCCAGAGCAACATTGCAGCAGAAGGTAAGGACACAACAGAACAACGTCGTTCAGACAGAAAGAAAAGGTGTTTGTTGGGAAATCCTTATGTTTACATACTGGAGCTCAGGGCTAGAAATGAGAAACAGAGGAACTGAGCTCCCGTTTTGCCAGGGTGGCAGCAAAGGTCCTGATCGTACACACAGTCACATGACAAAGAAAGGGTGAAAGGCAACAAGAGCAAGGTGAGCTACAGAGACAAAACAAAGACTAGACTGAGAGACTATCTACCTCTAAGGCTGACTGTGTCCTGACGATCCCGCTCCCTCCTTACCATCTCCGCCCGATTACATCTGCATTTGACGCTTGGCAGAAAAAGCAAAGACGAGAAAGACGCCGCTGCTGCCTTCGCTGCTCCTGCTGCTGCTCCTCCTCCTTCTCGTTCCTCCTCCGCGGCGTCCTCGACGTTGGTATGGAGACAGGAGAAGCGTCCCCGTGGGACCGACGTGTTGTCACAACACTGGGACACAATCAGTGCATGTTTGAGGACAGAGCTGCGTCCTTACATACAAATACAGCAGAGACACAATGGAATTGAGTCTAATAGGGTTGTTAGACGGAGCTAACATGGTAACAGTAAAACAAAAAACAAGACGGAGCTAACATGGTAACAGTAAAATAAAAATAAAAAACCCTTAGCTCAAACATCGAGCAAACACATGCTCGGACTTGTCGGACATGTTCGGTCTAAAAATCTCCCCTACGTTTACTTGTTTCTTCCATGGTCGTTCTTTTACGACAATGATACTCATAATGCGGCAGCACTGCCTTCTCCTGGATTCAATTATCTTTTGAAAAAACACTCACCCAAATGGTCAAAGTCATTCCATCAACAACTTAAAAAGGATTCAAAGGCATTTCCTGGAGAGTTGGGATGTTTTATGCGAGTGGAGCACAAAAGAAAGTTGTACATGACCAGAACGTAGCTCCTTTACGTCATTTGAGTTAGCTAGCGGACTTTCTCGGGAACTTACCTTGTTTGGGCAATAGTTTTTATTCTTTTTTTAAAGATATCAGAAAGTATATAGTACATAATTTCAAATAAAGCAGATTTTTTTGTGGCACCGTGTGTTCAGAATACCTTACCGTGTAGTTTGATATGTTACTCAGCTGATATGTGGGGATGAGAAAAGTGACGATTTGAGGGGAACTCGGCGGTGGGTCTCCACATTCCTAAATCCCTGCTCAACAAATGAGGTGCCGTTACTTCCAAGGACCCACTTCCGTCTACAACCAACAAAATAAAAGTAAATTGTCTCTCGTTTTATCTCAAACTAAAATAAAAACAAGTACTTTTTACTTGCATTTTTGTACTATTCAAATAAGTACATGTAGAATCGTTGTATGAAACTCTAGCCGTACTTAGTACTTAAAAGATATTCACTTATATACTTATATCCTATATACAAATTAAATCATTTTGAAAATAAAATGGGCCCAGCTATGTTTTTGTAAGATGTTATAAAGATATTGATACAATGAAGCAATCTCGTGTTTCTTTTACGTCAGCTTGCTACACGGTTGCCTTTGTAACCTTATAAGAAAGACGCCTCTTCAGAACTTATTATGAAGAGAAATTTACTGAATTTCCGGTAAAACTGTGAGACTTGACGCAGCTCAGTTTGAGAAGCGGGGGAAGGGAAGAAAGAAACAAAAACCGCTGATCTCTAGACTCTGAGGGAAACAGTGAAAAAACAGGGAAAAACTGCGTCTGGAGGCAGTTGAGAGACGGAGACGTTGTTGGCCGTCAGCTGTAACGAGAGTAGAGTAAAAAACAAGTGAAAAACAAGTAAACTTCATCAATTTTAAGAACAGCGGTGAAATTACACGTTTGAAATGGCTTTATCTGGCGGTACAATACCTAGTGAACAGAAATAAATATTGAACAGGCGTTTAAACTGAATAAAGTCGCGTTTTATTTTTAAAATTTTAATACATAATCCCACAAATTAATTAGTGTTGTTCAATATTTGAATTTATAATTTGTATTTCAATCAAATCGTTTTTCATTATATTTAATTCTTTAACGTTTTTATTTTCTAACATCGATATATTTGCTTATACTGTTAGTATTGTTTTTAATAATTTAATTTTAATTTCAGTTCATTTATTTTCAATCGCGTTGGCTTGTTCTACTACTAAAATTTAATCGCCTAACCTTTGAAGCTTAATCTTTTCTATATTTGATATTGATTCAAATTTAAATACTCTTTTCATTTCCGTCTATTTTATTTCAGCCATTACGTGAATATGCGTCATTTGACCAGTAGAGGTCAGTAGATAGCTGATCCAGCTTTACATGAAAGTCTGAAATACTATATTTGTCCCGCTTCGGTGGGGGGAATTTCATCTGGAAGAATTCTTTCAAACAAATAATTCAAAGTCAACTCAACAACAGTATTGTAGAGTGAAAGCCAGCCAGATTTTCAGGAATAGAGCTGAAGTTTTCGAAATATCTTTAAAAACACTAAAGACTGAATGTATTCTAAAGTAGACACACTTGTTCTTTTCACTTGAAGATATGAAACTGAAGACCATTTCTTGATCTTTCGTTTCGTTTATCGGTGATATGATCCTACGACGGTGGTGCTGCGTTACTCATACAGTAGAGAGAGGAGGAGGGGTGTGTGGAGGAAGACACTCAGACCTCAGGAGATGAGTAAAACTCAGCCCAACACTCGATTTACTGTTTGATTTATGACTTCATTTCCTGCTCCGAGCTTCTGCGTGAGCCACCTTATCTTCACCGGCGTAGGAATGATGTGGCTGCGCGTCCCACAATCCCCCCAGGAGAGTGGCTCCTCAGCTCTTCGAGAATAAATAATGACTCCTCCAGCAGGTACATATGGAGCAGGGAGCGCAGAGCAAGACTAAACATATTTGTTCTTTAAGATGAGGAGGAGATGAGTTTGCTCCTCTCCTCTCCTGGTGGATCTTTGAATCTTCAGCCCCTGAGGACCCGCTCTGACAACAGTCAACTGTTGATCACTATTTAGAAGAATGTCACGAAGTGCCTTGTTTACCATCCATCCATTTTCTTCCGATTATCCCTTACCGGGGTCGCGGAGATCAGTCTCCAAGACCGCCACCCAAATCACACTGCACCGTACCGTGAACCGCCCTAACCGGGATTCGATCTAATCAGGCCCAGCAGCCTCATTGGCCCAGAGGCAATGGCAGAGACATTGCATCTGGGCAATCGTTGCCTGCAGCACACTTCACTAGGTCACATCCCATTTCCTTGAATGAGATTCACTAGATGACAGCATTGCAGCTCATCTAATTAATCTCATACTCATACAGTGGTTTGTAAAAACTAATAAATGTTACAAGACATATCGCTATCGGTTCATATCGGAATCGGAAATTGAGTGTTTGGACAATATCGGCATATCAGATATCTGCAAAAAGTTAATATTGGACAATAATATTCTACAAGGAACCATCAGGATGGGCAGCAATGACTGAAATCCACACAATCTATGGAAGAACCTTTTAAGTTATACTGTTGCATTTGTTCTTGACACTTGACATGAAACACAGACATCTACCTACTGTGAATGTTCTTTCTACTCACTTTCTTTGCTCACTTTTGGACTTAACATTACTCATAATTAATCATGATTAATCATGAGCAATTGTGTTTCAGCAGATTTAAAACAAATGTGTTTGATGACCCTAATGTATAAATTCAAGTGATTTCCAAAAATAAGGATACACTCTGATGGCCTAGTGAAAAGACAGAACAAACCTATAGTTTCAGATATGAATATGATTTTTCATGATTTAATGTCTTCTGCTCTTGTTCCGTCCTCCTCACTCAGTGGGAGTAGGAGACCAAACTCCCAGCAGTCCTTGTCATTTGTCTTCTATATATAAAGTTTCTAAAGCTTCATGCTGACCCATGGACCACGTTCTCCTTCCTGCAGCATGAGCTCTTTCTTCTGCTCATCCCACGAGGCTGATTCACCGCGGCTGACCTCCGAGGCTGCCTCTGCCACAGAACGCAGGGGAGAGTAGAGAAAAACTAAAGTGTAGGCAGCTGAAGACCACTGGGAATCCACGTTTGATCTGTTGGCAGCGTCATGGCGGCAAACACCTGCGTGACAAATGGAAACTTACCGTTGTCTCGATTTTGGATGTTTTGATTAAGTGGAATATTACTGCTGTGCACCTGCGTCTCTGAGGTTACCATGAAGAAAATGTTTGAGCATCAGATACATGGTCTGACCCATCGGACCATACAAGTGATTTTAGCTCACATGGTCAAGATGGTCTGTTTTTGCTGAGATGTGGCCTGCGTTCATGAATATCAGATGTGGGCCACCAAAGGTCCGTCAGTCATGTCAATGAAGAAGTTGCAACGTAAGAATTTATTTGTCTAATTATTGGCCAACCTATTTTACTGTAGCTTGAGTTTTATCCTGCTAAAAATTATATATACATACATATATATATATGTAGCACATATATACTGTATATACATGTGCTATTTTCATACTACCTTCATGGTTCTTTTACTAATGTTAAGGTGTTTCTGGGTCTAAGATTTTTTTTTTAATTAAGGAAAACCAGCTGATAATATTCAACTTGCAGTTATTTCTGACCAATGATTTTAATAGTACTACCTTGTTTATTAATTTATTTGTCTCCTGTAACAGTCAAGCACTGTTAACATAACCTGCTGCCTTTCTTTATAATTTTACAGGAGGAAAGAAAAACTCTCATTCTGAATACTTCTAGATTGATTTTTTATCGAGATTTCCGACCCTAGTTTGGAAGGTCAGACACCTCAGCTAGAATCAGGACCCTCACACATTGTGCAACACAGAAGAGGAGAGTTTAATAAACCTGGGCCTAATTTCTTACTTTTGACAGTTGAACAAATGAGAAAGAGGAGCAGGAAAAAACGGCAGGATAAAAGTTGTTCTGTTTTCTAACAGGCTGAGCTTCTTTGTATTTAGAGAGATTCTCCAATATTTTAACATCAGTGCAAAAGCACTTAACGTGACATTTAGAGAAGCTTAGGGATTGTCCATGGAGGGGAAAGAAAAGCACGGATGATGTTATCACTGACATGTGTTTAAAAACCAGGAGCAGGAGAAGGAGGTGCAGGAGCAACAGAGATTAGAGAGTGACTTGTGGCCCGTGGTCCTGCACCTCTGGAAATACTTGTGGAGCTTACGCTTCATCCCAAATGCTTTCATCCGATATCTGTCAGATAGGATCTGATGGAGGACTCACAGGAACAATCTTCTCAGGAATAACATTACTGTCCGTGGAAGACATCTGCACACGCACCACGCATTTTAAAGAATCATCATCCATCCACAAACCAAAGGACAGAGTGGAGATCACAAAGATTCTGAACTGTTGAACAGGCATGACCGGGGAACCAGTAAGCTCCTACTGCAGAGACTGGTTGCAGGAACTAGGTATAGTACCAGAAAGTTTAGGCATTTACACTACAGAAATCAGCAGGAGTAGACGTTGTTGTGGTTAGGGGAGAGTTTCCTTCAGTTCATCAGTAAAAAACGTGATTTCACTCGTGGGTAATGACCTCATTTGAATCACAGCTGACGTGGATGACATGCTGCCTGTCTCCTGTTCTCAGTCTTTTCCTCTCCAACAACTGATGCTGCGACAGTCATGACGTGAATTCCCTCCTGAATCAGAGGTGTGACGATCTCTGTCAGCAGGCAGTCATTATTTCCAACATCTCTCTGGATCTCTGCTTCCACGACCCTGACACAACATAAGGAATGTGAAAGAAGTCCTCGTGTAGACGTGCCAGCGTGTCTGCGTGTGTCTGCGCACAGACCTCGTTTCCACAAAAGAATGGAAATCCAAAAGTATTGAAAACAGAATTTTTATTTGACATTTATGCTTTTAGCAGACGCTTTTATCCAAAGTGACTTAGGACTAAAATTATCAAGCATCGAACGCAGGACTCTCTGCTCTCTGAGGCAGGTGTGCTAACCGCTACACTATGGATCCACTCTAACCACTTCCTTTTAACTCGTTGGTACCGAGTCCTGTCACAGAGCTTTAATCACATCTGGTTTTAAAGAATATGCAATAAAATTGAAGGGTTGTGTGTGTGTGTGTGTGTGTGTGTATGAGCTCTACCCAACCCTATTCAGATAAAAACACTGTCTCTTGAACTGCACTAGGTAAACACACAGCACTGGCCGACCACTGAATTTGTGGAAATCCATTTCACAGAATCAGGCTGCCTCATTGGCTCATGTTTTTGAGTTGTGGGGTCGTACTGATCC